GATTGGATAAGTAACTTCCTTCATGACAGGAGACCAAGGGTAAGGGTTAATAGAGCTCTTGCCCCGTGAGTACCTGTAAAAAGTGGAGTTCCCCAAGGTACAATCCTCGGTCCTCTTCTCTTTTTACTTTATGTAGATGAATTGCCAACTGTAGCAAAATTATCCGTTCTACTCTTCGCTGATGACATAAAAGTTTGGATACCCATACACAGTATGTCGGATAGAATAGTATTACAGGACGATCTTAGCTCATTGATGGCATGGTTGAACAGGTGGCCACTAGAAGTAAATCCTAATAAGAGTGTGGTGATGCAATTAAACAACTATGATGAATCACATCACTACACTGCCCAAAGTAAACTATAAAGATTAAGGAGTTATATTAAGCAGTAGTATTAAAACCACTAGTCACTGTAAGGCTGCTGCTGCTGCTGCTGCAAAAGGCTATAGGGTATTATGGTCAATTCGTAGGTCTTTTCAGTATTTAAATGACGAAATGTTTAAATTATTATTATAGGTCGATAGACCTCCTATCCTTATTACTGAAGACTGAGTTAACAATGCTTCTATATGTTGATGATATAAAAATCTGGCGGAAAATATCATGAGACTCCAATCCATGAGCACTTCGGGCATACTTAAATATTGTGATTAGCTGGTTTGGAAGGTGGTTGATGCCTATCCACGCGGTAAAGTGTGTCTACATGGACTTTGGTGGTACGAAGGTAAATAGGCACAGCACAGAAGAAGTGCTTGTACCTGTGGCTCGGTTTGACAGCGATCGTAGGATGATTGTGAGTCATGATCTTGAAGATGGCACAGGTATTCAGTGTTTGACAACGCTCTAACCAATAAGACTGTTTCAGCAGTGATGTCTTTGATAGGTACTGCCTCTGGCCATCAAATGAAACGGTCTACGCAGGTTAAAGGATAAACGTATCCATTTGATTCTGGCAAAGCTCCTGCCAAATCCAGATGAACATGGTCGAAACAAGCATCAGGAATTTCAAATGAACCTAAGGGACATTTGTCGTGTCTAATCATCTTAGATTCCTGACAGCTTACACAGGAGCGTACCCACTCCCTCACGTCTTTATTCATAACAGGCCGGAAAAACCGTTCTACTATAAGCTTGATGGTTGCACAAACACCTGGATGAGAAAGTTTGTGCAACGTATTGAAGACGTTGCGCCGATAACGTTTCGGCACGATTGGACGATCCCTATTTGCAGATGTGTCACAAAGTAAGGTTGCCTTACCTGTTCCCATCTGTTTGACGCACAGTTTAAGAGTTGTTGAGGATAACTCGTGATGAAGATCAGTGTCTTCTTTTTGAAGCCAGGTGAGTTTAATAAGTTCGATTCCTTGGAAACTGTTCAAGGAAGTTATGCGAGACAAAGCGTCTGCAACTACATTGTTTGCTCCAGAGATGTATTGAATGTCTGAAGTAAACTGCGAAATGTAGTCCAGTTGTCGAGACTCACGTGGTGAGTACTTGTCTGAAGATGAGCTTAAAGAGAAAGTAAGAGGTTTATGATCAGTAAAAAGGGTGAATTCACGGCCTTCGATATGGTGTTGAAAATGCCGTACAGCACAGTACATAGATAGGAGTCCCCTACCGAATGTGTCGTACCTCGATTCCGTGTGTAGCAAACGTCTCGAGAAAAATGCCAAAGGTTGTCAGGAGTGGTTAACCCATTGTTGTAAGACTCCTCAGATTGCTGAGTCGGATGTGTTTATTGTGATGCTAATGGGTGCTTCAGTGTCCTGATGAGCAAGCATTGTTGCTCTAGCGATAGGTTCCTTCATTGTGGAGAATGCTTTTCGTGCAGTGTCGTCCAAACTGTTGGATTTTGCATTTCCACGAAGTTGATCGGTAAGAAGCTTCATAAGCGATGCGCATTTCGGTATGAAACGTCTATAGAATCTTACTAGGTCGTTAAACGTCCGTAATTGCTTGATGGTGGTCGGTTTTGGGTAATCCAGAATGGCCGCCACTTTGGTTCTAAGAGGTCGAATGCCTTGAGCATCGATAGTGTGTCCTAGGAAGTCTAATGAGTCAGCTCCGATTTGGCATTTTCGAATGTTTACAGTAATGCCATGTTTTTGTAGTCCGTCGAAAACAAGATCCAGATGCTGGAGATGCGATTCTCTGTCCGGACTTGCGATTAGGCCGTCGTCAACATATGCATGTACGAAATTGAGACCTCGGACAACGTCATCTATGAACCTTTGGAATGTTTGGGCATCGTTTTAGACCGAAAGGCATTCGCGAAAATTCGTGGAGTCCAAAGGGAGTAATGATAGCTGTTTTCGGTATATCGTCTGTAGCCATAGGGATTTGGTTAAACGCTTTAACCAAATCGACTTTGAAAAGACAGTTGTACCTTTCAAGGTAGCTGTCACATCATGAATGTGAGGCAGCGGGTAATGATCGGTGATGGTTTTTGCGTTCAATCTCCAATAGCCACCAATTGGACGCTGTCCTTTTTAGGGACCATGTGCAATGCGTATGGGCTACTTGACGGTCGTATGATTCCTAAGTCTATAGTGTGGTCGAACTCGTTTTTCGCCAGCCTTAGCTTTTCGGGGGCTAGTCGGCGTGCTTTAAAGAATACAGGTGGTCCTGTAGTCGTGATGTGATGTATGAAGGACCATACCAATGATTGGTAGAGAAACATCTGCAACAACGAAGATCCAGTGAATGGGTTTGCGTAAACCCACGTCAAGGTAAACGTATATCTTGCCATACGTAGCGATAGGTTTTCCGTTTGCCGCCTGTAAGTTTAAAGCCGATTCGTGAAGCCGGTCATTAGGATTCGCTGGGAGAACGCTAACTTCTGCGCCAGTGTCGACGAGGTAGCGAGTTATCGCTGTCACATCTGTGATGTATAACAGACGGCTATGTTCGCCGGCTACGGTTGCCGTTAACGCGTGCCGGCTTGGAAGTTTCCCCAGTTGTTTTTCCAGTCGGTCGGTTTTGAGTTGGGAAAATTGCAGGGTTTTCGGCAAATTTTGGAAGACTTTCCATACTGGTTATGATACCATCACCAGTCGGGATTATCCGTCTCTCGTGGTCTAGAGACAGATCGCTCACATGAGGTGCTTCTACGTGGGGTGTGTGGTCGCTTACGGTCGTTACGAAAATTAAATAACGCGTAAGTGTATGACATAACTCGGTTATGTCATTCTGGGTCCTTTGAAGCTTTTCTTTGACTGAAAAAGAACCTCGGTATTAGATTTTGTGATTTCTAAAATGCGGTCGGCAGATGCAGCCAGCTCGTCCAAGGCGTGGTAGTGGAACGAGACAAACAGCTTACACCTGTTGAGGAAGTTTCGTCAAGAAAAGTTGTTTAAATAGGCCATCATCGAAAGTTCGTTGACCGATAACCTCTCTCACTCGTTGCACCATGTCCGTCGCAGAACTGTGTTGCAGGTCGATGTTATTGAGGAGTTGGTTTATCGGTTAGGTCTCCGCGTTTAAGAATAGAACGTTTCAGCGTTTCGTAAAGTTCAGAAACATCACTAGTAAACATACTAGTTGTTACGCACGGTAGTGCCTTGACTACTGCGAGGAATTGTGCACGTGTGTCGATCACGCCGTGCTCTGAGAAGTCGGCTCCTGCGTAACGAAACCAGGCTTCGATGTTGTCTGGCCAGAAGGGCATCAGTTGAAACGAAGGTGGGGACAAAGTCTTAAGCTTAAATACTTTGTGTGTCTGTTCAGTCACGATGAAATATGAAGTACGATAATGAACAAGGGAAAAAATATATGTTCCAAAAGCACGAAAAAATATCACAATGTCTAAAAATTAAGATGAAGCAATGATATATAGAATCCCGAAAAGGAACAGACTCACAGTTTACGATTTGGTGTACCATATCACGTTAGGCTCACCAATGAAGATGTTACAGGTATTCAGTGTTTGACAACGCTTTTACCAGTAACACCTTTTAATATAACTCGTACCCATCAAGAGAAATCAAAAGACAGAATTGAGGAGACTGGAAGATATATTTGATGTGATATCAATATATCAAGAACCGTCTGCTCTAATCTGGCTAGCGATTGCAATCGATAATGAGCACGGCGTGCCCACTCGTGATCTGGTGCGGATGCATGACCGAGCGCCTTCAGCTAGGTGAGTCCATTAAAACATGTGGTCATCATCCAATGTCAAAAACTTACAGAGCTATTTATTTTGAGGATTTATTTACCGCTACAATCTTGAGACCATGACCCACTGCCGAGAGTATGCACTTGAGGAGATGAGAATCCTATGGTATTTCGAACTGACATTCACCAAGCTAGATACCACTATGTTCACCACCGTATTCACAATTTTATTGAAAACTAAGCTTGAAAACTGCATTCAGGCTGAAAGTCCCTGTTTTAAAGTTGACTTGAATATCCTTGGTGAATTACAGAGAGCAGCTACTCGTGCAACTCAAAAATCCTGAGGTTTACCATACAAAAAGGGCTTGAAATACTAGACTTCCTTACTCAGTCTCACCGCAGATTAACAGATGATCTGATTTTGATGTATGGAATAGTAAGAAATAATTTTAGACCGAATATATCTTCTCTTTTTCTTAACACTAGATCATGGCATCTCAGAGGACACAGGAGGCGAGTAGAAAAGCCGAGAACGAGCAAATAATCCTTTGCATATCGGTTTTCAAAACGAGTCATCAATTGTTGGAATCTGTCTCCTGAAACACTGGTGTAAGCACCTTCAATTACCTGCTCAAGAGGAAGCTAGACGTTCACAGAAGCATAATGGAGAAGAAGAAAAATGAGCTATAAGCCTTCTGTTCTTACTACACAAATCTAAATCTGTGAAATGAATTTCGGAGTTTTTACGTTGTTGCTAGTTCTTAACTACTTGTCTCAAATTAAAAAAACTCAAGACGTTACCGGATGTAAGTGTAAAAACTACATATAAATACGTATTTTGCATTATTCACAAACATTTGATCCAGTTCGTTTAAAATCATAAAGTGAAGGTCAGAGTTCATCTGGTAAATTAAAGCGCTTGAGAGAAAACATCTAAGGTTGGGAAGTAATTGTATGTATATCTTGATAAAAACGTGATTTCCAGGATTGAATACTCGTATAAACTATTTATATGGCTCAAATTAGTGTTAATGGGATCAAAGCAGTAAGTGATAATGGAAATCAATCTACTGACGATGATGTTATCCCCACAAGCATCTTCCATTGGAAGTGTTATGAAGGTTACCTCAGGACATTTCCTGCAATGATTAAGTTATGCGAACTATTGTGTATCTTCATAGCGTTTATCATCAGTTTCTTGGATAAGAATTTCCTATCAGTTGGTGGTTCATGGCTGACAGTAACAACTGCATTATCATTCATTGTCACCGCATTCTTCCTTGTCTTCCATCTCTTTCTTCTGCATCGTTTTATTGCGGCTCCTTGGTGTCTAGTCGTGAGTGCTACTAACTTATAATAATTATATCAGGAACTTGCTGCCTATGTTATCGTATGCATACTTGTGTTTTCAAATGGAGTACTGTCTGCAGCATATTCTCATTTAAGTGGTATTATAATAGCAGAAACGGTAAGACCAAAACATAGCCGTTTTTAGAGTCTGTTTATTACGTATTAGATATGTTAGTAATGAGATTGATGGAATCGGTCCGCTTCTTTTTGTTTTAGAATGCCTTCTCTATGTAGTAGACGAATTTAAAGATCTAGCTGCCTCCGTGTTCTGTAAAAAATAATAAGTTGGTTGACCCTATTGTTTTCTATATTGAAAGGTGCAATAATGAAACCGCTAAGGACGTATGAGACAGGTAACTGTCTCACTTGTATATTCCCGACAGTAACATTCTTTATTTGTCTATGCTTAAAAAATTCTAGTCGTTCAGTCAGCTATCTTATTCTAGTTGTTTTAGAGAGCATTGATATTAATCGGACCATTCACCCCTCAAATTTTAAGGTCTACGGATACCAGAGACTGATTGCATTTACTTGGTAAGTCATTGAATAGAGTTCAAGGTTAATAGATCCGATAGCTTGACATTTTGATACTCTCAGTAACATATTGGACTCGTCCGCAATTATGTTAGAGAATGAAGTGGGTTGCAGTCTCCACATGAAGCAATCTTTTAAGCAATAAAACATGTACCCATTAGTTCCTTTTTAAGTTGAGTACTATGCAATCTACCGTCTTCGAGAAGTCTGGTAGTCCTGAATTCGTGACTCATATGTTAGCCTGTTAACATTCAACTTTTTTAAGTCACTGGTTTATTAATACGAGATCTTGTTCTTTTTCAGATTTTCACCTTCATGGCTCTCGCTATTTATACAGTCGACAGTTTAGTTGCTTTCAAAATTTTTACAGCTGGGCGCTATTACGATTAAAGTGTCCTATTTCATGATTAAGTATTCTATTGTTTGCTTGTAATTTCAGACAGTCCTTAATGCAATTCTTAAGATGTCCTTCTTCGCTAACTTACCACTTCATATTAAAAAATTTTAAGATTTCAAATTACGATGTAACATTCAAGAAACCTGACTTCAGTATTCTTGAACTATTTTTACCACATAACTACAAAATAGATCTGACCCTGTTTGGCATAATAATATCAAGCAAGAAACCTACACACTGACTTACACAGAGGTTTTGTTCTGTGTTTGCCTTAACTTAGTTAACATCGTTCTAAGCTTATCAATACAGTATTTAAATTATTCCTGTCACTAAAGATTTCCCGGAAGCACATAACAAAAGACAAGTCCTTTTTCTGTTTTGCCGTCTTACTGGTTCACATAGGACGAAGCATTTGATGACTCCTATATAGTGGCTTAACTACTTTTATTTATTTAAACACATAAATACTAGTACAAAGAGGCACCAAATAGATGTGCCACACAAATCATTTAATTTGTGTGAGGGCTGGGATGCTGCCCAGGTGCCTAAACTGAAGCAGGTGGTTTCCTTAGGGGGAGCCTTCGACCTAAAGGTCTGATCCACAAGACAGTGGCGCAACGTCAGGGGATGCAGTCCAATGGTAGCCGGTGAACAACAATAGGTCCATACACCATTTGTTCCGTCAGGATACTGGAGCCCAAGTAAACCATTGGTTTGGAATCAGGGTTTCCCAACTCCCCTAGGTGTACTTTCTATGTCCACCAAGCCGGTTAAAGCGCCGGACATTCGCTTTTTATCCTCTCAATTTCGTAAACAACAGTAATGCCGCAAGCAGGCAGTGGTTGTATGCACATGGCCATGTGAGAGTATTTCGAGAGGGAAAGCTGATTCGGACGTACAAAGGAATTTGGGGACTTAACTACTACCAAACAAATGTAAACTTGAGTTTGGTAATAGTTCTCATATATATAAGCACAATACAAAGATCGTTAGCCTATCTAGCGTTCGAGTGAAAACCACTATAACGTGCATAATTGTGACAAAGCAAACTGAGTGCAACAAAATTTTATCATCAGATATCGAAAATCCACGGGACCAGAATTAGGATTCGTAGTCGGAAACAATTTTAAAGCGCTTCCTAACGCTGAAAAGTTATGACGATGAATACCAACTCATCACGATTGAAAATCCAGTGTGTATTCCAGTAAACATCTCACGGCTAGTAGCAAACATGCTTGATTTTAGTGGTTCTACGTATTATATGAATTCATGCACATATGACTACATGGTAAGATAAAGGTAAATACTGGTTACTAATTACGAGTGAACACAATGATCTGATGGTAGGTAAAGCACACTTTTAAACAGGATTCTTCACTAACCTTGTAAGTGGTGATAGATGGGACAGAATTAAATTGGATAAACTAAGGCGAACTAGAAGTCTTTGAATTCGTCTTTTGGTATTTAGAGCCACTTGCGTTCATGTTTGAGATCTCAGAAACTAAGAGTTTCTGATCCTAGTCCAGAACGGGTTACAATTAAACGTGCGATCGTACCACTTCTAGATAACTATTATTACTATCAATTTTTTGTACATTTAAAACGTGCTTCAAAAACCGCTTCCATACGTTTGAAATAATACTCATCAAAATGTGCGAATTTTATGAGTTGAGAATAATTGTTTAGCTTTTTCTTACTTTGTTTGTTTTCATAAGCAAACACGCTCAAAATCATATTCAATATGTAGGAAATTACACCCTCCCGGTTGAAGGTTTTCACTCCTTATGTTTACGCAGTCAATATTATAAACTAGTCACTTGCTGAAACCTTTCCTAAAACTACAAATCTGTGTGAGCATACCACATCTAGTAACGTATCACTTATCCCTTTGAATAAATGTAAAACCATGGTAAGGAGGTCGTTGGGAAAGAACATTGATGGAATCATGTCTTGGTATTTCTAAGCGGGTATATTTATTTCATCAAAATTTGGTCTTGGAAATTTGAGCTTGAAGATTTGTTTCTATACTCAGCATTCCCATCTTCCCGATTAGTTTTAGAGTTGAGTGTACATTTTAAATCTATAGTGATGAGCGGACGAGATTTATGTTTGTTTTCATCTATTGGATAACTCTAACATTCCAAACAATGCTAAAGAGCATTAAATGAACTGAGACCCAATACAAGATTTAGAATAAAAATTAACGGCTTCAGATCGTTTTCCCTTCCAATTTGAACAGCTTTAGGAAAAGGAGACCAAAGCCTTTTATTTGCAATTTATGTAGTTGATTTTTTTATTTTTGTCTCCTTCGTATTCTCGTGAGTTTTCACTGTTTTCTGGTGCATACAACGTGGTGCTAGTATTGTAATAAGTTTGCTTAGATAAGAAATAATATACGTGATGTGTGAGTATTTCAAACTACGAAGAATCAAAGTATAAGACATCATACGTTTGATTAGTAAAAATAATAATTCTAAATAAGTATGGGACATTTTGCCAAAACTTTATCAAGCATGGGTTACTTTTACTAACCATTCACTATGCAAAGGTTTATAGCATTTATACATCAAGGAGTTTAGGAATTTATGTTCACCCACAATCCACGAAATTTAAATCTCATACTCTCAGGGAGTTGTTAAGGACCAGGTACCTTGGTCACTGTACATAAACAAGTCGACAAAGCATTTTCTTAACGCTGGGAGTTTAGTAAAAATACATTTATTTTGATGGAAGCTAGGTATTTTACATAGAAATTAAAAATAAAGTAGTAAATTATAAACTAAGAATGAAGGATTATTAGGATATTAATTATGTAATCCTAGTACATTTAGAGAATCATATTTACCACACGGTATAGTTGAGATTGGCGCTCAAGTGTCTTCAAAGGCATTTATGATATGAGACTTATTTTAAACAGTTCAGCAGTTTGGAAATATTATCTGCATACTTGTAATATGATTAGATCAGTAAAGAATCGATCCAGATAACGGAATAAAAAATTATACGAAATCAGATGTTCGGTATTACGTTAATTTTGAAACGAAAAATCGTTCTGCAGAGCTGTGATGCTGTTTTAAATGGCTGGTTAGTATGAAAATATACTTTTGCAAAGCGTTTGCACTAGAGTTACAAATTCACTGTCACGACTTATAAAGTTCTGTAGATTTATGCTAAGGAAGAAATCAAGATACATCTGGTTAGTTAAAAACACTGCTATTGTAGAGGTAAAGAACCCGGAAAGTTGGACTGAACCCTTGGTTAATCTTTTTAGCTTTCACCAACTGAACAAAACAAGAGGCAATAAACCTAGAAGGCAACCAGTAGTAATGCCGACGATCCGTCCCTAAAAATAAAGGAATATGCTTTATGAGTGTTAATAATCAGTCTTAATTCCAATTACAAATAACACAAGCTTAAAACAATTTGAAGTATTTTACTACCGCAAGATTACTTATAATGCTGGAAATTTAGCACATCGGTTGCAGTACTGACACATGCTAACAGTCAAAACAAGAGGAATTATCCACTAAAAGAAAAAGACACTACACTTCATTAGAAACTTGGACCTGTAATACGATCAGAAATCACTGGTTTAACCAAGTTTTACCGCTTGTAGGATCTAAAACCTGATTACCATATATGGTCACAAACAACATAAGAGCAGGAAGTAGTGTACACTGAACTAAATCTCCATGACACACATGCACAGCTTGTGGAAATTAACAAGATGTATAGCGGAGTAAAAGTAGTATTGGTGTTCATGACATATTTCAAAAAAGAAAGAATCTGAAGAATAATGTTACATTCCAAGATCTAGATGACGGGAAATGGATGCATCTAACTCACTGTAATCGATCCGAACCCTTGAAACCAAGATATGTAATTGACACGAATTTTCATATTTTGTTCATAAAATCCCTTTTTCAACAAGCTTCCCATGAAACAATCGAAAAACGAAATCTCCTGTTCATAACTTTCATGGTTTGTCTATTGGACTTAAGAGTGCTTACCAATTCGACCATTTTTCTCACTGAGGTGAAATACATAATGTAAGAATACCCGACCAACCAATTCATTGCTATGACGAAGGGACCATGATAATCTAATTCAATCCAGTTTTTGGCAAGAAGGATTCGTCTTTTAGCTGATAGCCTAGGAACATATAAATCTCCACAAAATTCCTTGGTTTAAGCTACATTCCAGAGAAAGCCTATGAGTACTATACGAAGAAAATTCTTGGCTTTGCTTAGTGGTCTTGGATGATTAGCCTATACCATTTAACTATAGTCAACATTGTTAAAGCAACCGATTTACTACATTTGGTAGAAATTTAAGATAACGTGTAAAGACAGGTAGACGTTTTAATGTCCTAAATACACCTGTTTTAGGATTTGCGTTAAAGCTCAGGACAGTAAGCTCAGATGGTGCGCGTGACTTAAGAACAGTCAGGGTAAATTTCATGGTGAAAACGATCCTCACGGACGCAAAATCAATCAAAGGTTCTAATAATTACGACTGTACAGTGCAAATTTTACGGAAAACGAATGAAAAAGATTGATGGATTAGGTGTTCATAATGTGTGAATTAAAGTTGTCAGAGTTACATAATAAATAAGTATTCTTTACGGTTGGATAGAGTACCGCGCTTTTGTGACCGGTGATTTCCAAATGAATAAAAGGTGGAGTAGGAAGTCATCACAAAACATGAATCAACGAATGTGGCAGTTACGTTGGAGTTACTTACTTACGCCTGTTACTCCTCGTGAAGGAGCATAGGCCGCCAACCAGCACTCGCCATCCAACCCTGTCCTGGGCAATCATTTCCAGCTCTTTCTAGTTGTTATTCATCCTTTTCATATCTGCTCTTTGGCCTTCCTCTTTTCAGCTTCCCTTCAGGATTCCAAGTTACGACTTGACTCGTGATGCAGTTTGATAATTTCCTCAATGCGTGTCCTATCCATTTCCATCGTCTTTTCCTAATTTCCTCTTCAGATGGAAGCTGGTTTGTTTTCTCCCACAGAAGGCTGTTGCTGATGGTATCCGTCCAACAACGGACATTGAGTATCCTGCGTAGACAGCTATTTATAAATACTTGTACCTTCTTGATGGTGGTTGTTGTAGTTCTCCAAGTTTCAGCTCCATACAGTAGAACTGCCTTGACGTTCGTATTGAAAATTCTCACTTTGATATTGGTTGAAAGTTGTTTTGAGTTCCATATGTTCTTCAATTGTAGGAACGCGACCCTTGCTTTGCCAATCCTTGCATTTACTTCTGCATCTGAACCTCCTTGTTCATCGATGATGCTTCCCAGATATGTGGAGGATTCTACATCTTCCAGAGCTTCGCCATCAAGAGTGATTGGATTGCTGTTCTCCTCTTTGAATTTGAGGACCTAGGTTTTCCCTTTGTGTATGCTGAGGCCTACTGATGCAGAGACTGCTGCTACACTGGTTGTCTTTATCTGCATTTGTTCATGTGTATGTGATAGGAGGGCTAGGTCATCTGCGAAGTCCAAATCGTCTAATTGATTCTGAGCTGTCCATTGTACGCCGTGTTTCCCTTCAGATGTCGAGGTCCTCATAATCCAGTCGACCACCAGAAGAAAGAGGAAGGGAGAGAGTAAACACCCTTGTCTGACTCCAGTCCTCACTTGGAATGCATCTCGCAGCTGTCCTCCATGCATTGTAGTCCGTCGTATGAGTTCCGGATAATATTGACAATCTTCTCAGAAACTCCGTAGTGTCGAACAAGTTTCCATAACGTCTTCCTATCTACACTGTCAAATGCCTTTTCATAATCAATGAAATTGATGTATAGTGACGAGTTTCACTCAACTGATTGTTCGACGATGATCCGTAGTGTTGCAATTTGGTCTGTGCACGATCGATCCTTACGGAATCCAGCTTGTTGATCTCGAAGTTGGGCGTCTACTGCATCTTTCATCCGGTTCAGCAACACTCTGTTAAAGACCTTCCCTGGTATTGACAGTAGTGTAATGCCTCTGTAGTTTTCACATTTGCTCAGATCTCCTTTCTTTGGAATCTTGACGAGGTGCCCTTCTTTCCAGTCCATCGGCACTTAATCCTCCTCCCAAATCTTTTTGAATAGAAGGTGAAGCATGTTTGTAGTTACTTCAATGTCTGACTTCAGCTGGTATGTTGTCGGGTCCCGCTGCTTTCCCGTTCTTGATTTGTCTGACGGCCATTCTGATTTCTTCCTTCGTTGGTGGGTTGACGTCTGTAGGGAGATCTGTGTGTGCTGCTTCGATGTCCGGTCGATTCATTGGAGCCGGCATATTCAGGAATTCCTCGGAGTACTCTACTCATCTGTTCCGCTGTTGTTGAATTTCAGTGATTGGCCTGCCTTCTTTGTTTTTGACCGGTCTCTCTGGTTTACTATATCTCCCTGCTAGTTTCTTCGTTGTATCATACAGCTGTTTCATATTTCCTTCTCTTGCAGCTTTTTCCGCTGTCATTGCTAGTTCTTCCACGTACTTCTTCTTGTCGGTTCTAATGCTCCTCTTCGCCTGCTTGTTTGCTTCTATGTATTCAGCTTGTGCTTGGACTTTCTCTGCTCGTGTTCGGCTGTTGTTAATTGCTGCCTTCTTGTTCTTCCTTTCTTTGATCTTGTCCAGTGTTTCTATGGAGATCCATTCCTTATGATGATGCTTGTTGAGGCCCAGAACCTCTTGACACATTGAAGTTAATGCTTCCTTGATGCCTTTACAGTTGTCCTCCATAGTAGTTTCTTCTTCTTTCAGTAGATCCTGTAAGGCTTGGAACCTGTTGTTGAGAGCTATCTTGAATTCATTGAGTCTGTCAGTATCTCGAAGGAAGGCTGTATTGAACATTTGTATTGCTATTTGTCCAGTTCTTTTTTAGCTTCAGTTTTAAATTGGCTATAACTAGGTGGTGATCTGAAGCTATGTCAGCTCCTCTCCTGGTTCTCACATCTTCCATTGTCCTTCGGAATTTTTTGTTGATGCAAATATGATCTATCTGGTTCTCTGTGGTGTGGTCCGGTGAGAAATATTGTGCCGCTTATGACCAATTTGTTGAATGCACATAAATTTGCAAATCTTTCTCCATTTTCGTTTCTCTGTCCCAGTCCATGTCGTCCCATGATATTTTCATATCCGACGTTGTCTATTGCGACTTTAGCGTTTAGATCTTCCATCAGAATGGTAAGGTCCTTTCTTGGCCACTTCGCTATGATTTATTGCAACCTATCGTGGAACTGATCTTTAATGTCGTCGTTGCTATCATTGGTGGGTGCATAACACTGGATAACATCCATTGTAATTTCCTCCGTCTTTGATTTGAATGCTGCTTTGATGATTCTGGATCCGTGAGATTTCCATCCTACAAGTGCATTTCGTGCTAATTTGGACAGCATTAGAGCGACTACCTGAGTGTGTGGAGCATTTTCCTCTTCGTGATCGGAGTACAGCAGCATCTCTCCCGTATTTAGCCTTTGTTGTCTAGCTTGGCTCCAATGGGTTTTGCTGATTCCCAGTACTGCCAAGTTGTACCTCCTCATTTCCGTTGCTATTTCATTGATCTTCCCGGTCTCCCACATTGTTCGGACGTTTCATGTACCTATAAAATTTGTTGCTCTGGTTGTTAGAGAGGACATCGGCTTCGTGGCTTCCGAAGGAAGTCGGCTTTCACCATGAGGCGTCCTAGTTCTAAATGACGACCTTCTAACTCCCAGGGCAGAGTTTAAGTGGTTTGAATTATTTTTTTCTGCTTAGCGTTTTTTAGCGAGTTAGTTTTCTACTGGATGGGTTCGCTAACGCTATTACCAACCCTCCTCCTTTACCCGGGCTCGGGACCGGCAGTAACTCTAGAAGAGCTACAGGCGGAGTTTTACGTTGGACTTAGGATATGATAATAACTCTGAGTCTGTGTGGGGGTCTGTTGAAGTTATTTCCGGATTTCCTGATATTTTATTCAAACAACTAACACTAAATGCAACCTAGTGACCAAATAAAGATGCAGGATTTGGGCGAAACTGGTTTGAAAGGGTTAATAATAATACCAAGTAGCTCAAAACAAAACAGGTATTGTAAGGCATGAGCCTGAAACTTAATAATTGAAGGTTCAGTGTTGTAAACACTGTGGTATAAGTTTGCACTCAACAAATGTATTGATTTTAACTGGCATGTTTATAAGCAGCTTTGGGAACGACGCTTGAAAAACATGATATACCTGAATGCAGTAATTAGAACTTACTATTGCTATAGACCAACGAACTGAACTGCTGGCTAGTTGGGATGCAGACAATGGGGGAACAGAAATGCCAATTTTTTCCATGAACTTTTCAACGTAGCCGACGAGCCTAATATAATAGTGGAAACATTTTCCTCTTTTACTCAAATGTTATTCGATTAAATGGGTCTAAACTAGACTCACAAATAATATAATAAGTTTATAAATGACTGGTGTTTTGTTGCTACATCTAAAAAGAAACAGCCTAGCTGTGATGATTTTGGAGAGGACTAAAATACACCCATACTTTAGAAATATACTACACAAGTAAATTACGGTAAAAGCCCTTATAAATTATAAAAACAGTTCAGATATCATCCAATTGAAATGTTTACCAGTAGTAACATCCACTGAATTTTAGCTGCCAATAATTTAATGAAAATACGTATTTATCTACAATATAATAAATCGAAAAGTTATTTTTGATATTCAACAGACGAGTTAAAATGTGAGTTATAAATAGGCTCTTAAAACCACCTATCACAAACCATATTTGTTTACAGGGTTGGAATTAACCACCACATTTAGGTTTAATTAGTTCATCTGATCGGTGAAACTCAATTGACATGACTGATTCGTGTGAATAAGTCAAGACTTTTTTAGGTTTACAGGCCCCTGTCCTTTATTCACAATCCCAGAAAAGCCTTAAGATGCATTAGTAGTTAGACGCGTTAGTTAAGGGCTAGCAGTCTTAACACCGAGAATTCATATTTCTTGCAAATTGATACAATGACATGTATCCTAAGAAATTGTACAACACATAACAGTATGATAACACTAGGTTAGTGACACATTGCTAAGGGGAAATAAATGCATCAAAAGTGTCTGAAAACCATAAAAATACTTAAGTTAACGATCAACTTTGAAGTCGAACTCATTATTTTTCTAGGCATGTTGATTTTTCAGCAATAACTTGAGACTTATAAGACCCATTCGTGAAAATAAATTCGGTGGTTTTAAAAGGAGAAATGCTCAAGATAACAGATACTAGTTTTTTATTTAAATTCAGCAAGATACTTGTGTCCTCGAATTACCTGAACTATCTCCAGCATAAATGACTGACAATGTTCAGATACGAAACATGAAGGCGGATTACAGCCGTCCGTAGCTTGAGTTGAGAAAATACAACGCGGTGTGTTTCTAGCCAAACAAAAAAAACTAGCACAATAAACTCATTCTAAAATTTTAAAACAACTCAGATTGGTTGCAATCGATCTGTTTCATTGAATCGTAGCCAAACTTGTAGTGCTTAAAACAAAGGGATATTTTTACTGGTTGAGAGGGAGGAAAGTCAAAATTTTCACTAATTACAAAACTAATTTACGAGTTAAATGAACCCAGATACTGAATGCATACTGAAAGCTGAGTTCAGGGACGCATCCAAATCAGATGTGATTACAAACTCACCCTATGCCAAAAAGATCGGAAACAAGATTTCCTAGACCGGCAGCTAGAAACATGAAAATTATCAGAAATATAGGTACCAGCCATTGTCGAAATGCCCAAGAATGTTGCGAATTGCACGTCAATATACTCTCCCTATGCGAAAACGATGATTAAAAGCGACAGCTTTTAAACCTCACTTACAGCCACTATCATAATTGCATTATCCAGGAAACCAAATCCTATGAACGGGAGACAGTTACCTATAAAAACTAAGATACGATGCATATTCTGCCCTTTCTCGTAGACTCACTGCACTTAAGCTGCGCATATGTCAAATGGGCTACCTCAACTTGTTGTGTACTCACTGAGGAGTCTGGTTTCTCTGTGATGCACTTGGATAATTCTTGATACAGGAGCATTTTGTCACTTGGTGACAATTTACTAAGAATTCTGCAAATCCATAGGTTCTCGGACCGTCGATTGAAACTTCCACATAGCGGAGAACACTGAACAAAGAGACTTCTATTTACAAAAGTCAAAACCCTTCTTCCTGGACAGACAAAACTTCTGTACCAAAACATGTAACGCAACAACTAGTTTTGAGACATCCCAGTCAACAACCAATATCCGATGGCGCTTGTATAAAAACCGATCACTTTGTTTGCGCTTGCCTCTTATTGTTTCCTTACGGGTTAACTTCTTTAGTGATGCAAAATGTAGATATTCTGGCTACTCGACTGCAATAATCTAATGAGTTTGACAATTATTTGAAGGTTTGTATATCTTATAATCTGAGTAGTTTGTTTCACTCTTCAGTAATAAGGATAGTAGGTTGATGAATCTGTGGTAATCCTGGCAGCTTGCTTTCCAGTGAAGGTTCAGCTTCTCCTTGAAAATCTTCACTGATGAGGCTGATGCCACTTGTTCGGGTAAGGCGTTCCCATCATTGACTACTCGATGAGAAAAACGGGACCCCAGTTTAAGTTTATTAGATCGCGGTTTATGAACCTTCTTGCTATGACCTCGGAGATTAATAGTGCTGGAGGGAGCAAAAAGATAAGACATATTAACACCCAAATCATAATTAAAGGTACGAAATACTAGTACAAGGTGACCTCGCGTCCAACGATACAAGGGGAAAAAGTTTAGGCGTTTCAAACGCTCGTCGTGAGGGAGTTCAGAGAGACCCTTCACTAATTTTGCTCCTACACACTGGACACGCTCAAGTGAGTCAGTATCCTTTACCAAACATGGGCTAGCTGCTTGGAAACAGAAGTCTAAATGTGGTCTTACATATGTGGGATATAAAATTCGAAACATATCCTCGCCAAAAGATTTGAACGCTCGGCGAAGTGACCATAACGCACGAAAACCTTTGACAGCGGCTGCGTTGCAAGGCGTAGTTGTTTATAAGTCATGCTGATGTGCATCAGCACACTTGTCCTAGAATTGATTTCTAAGTCCCAACCTCGAGCCCATCTAACTTGTCTAAGTCTGCTTGGAGATCCAGATGATCAGCCTGACTTTTCATTCTTCTCCAGATTTCTACGTCATGCGCAAACAATAATGTCGACAACCTAAGCAACAGCGGTAACTCATTAAAGTAGAAAAGGAAGAGCAGACGGCCTAAGATGGTGCCTTGGGGTACACCACTTTTGACCGGCTTCCAATCGGATAGCGTTCCGTTGACTTTCACTCTCTGTCTGAGGTCACATAAGAAGTTTCCTGTCCACTCCTGTTCAGTACCTATTATTCTGAAGCTCGTGAGATTCTGCATTAGAACTAAGTGTGAAACCTTGTCGAATGCTTTGCTAAAATTTATGAATATCACGTCGACAGACAGACCTTTATCTGTCTGTCAGGACAATAGGCTTTCGGATACCGACATCTATCACAACATCAGGCAGGAGGTCGTTTGGTTGCAATGTAAACGGTAATATGGAGAAAATTCGAATGCCAAGAGGAGCTGGTTATTTCAAGGACTGATTAATTAGATAAGTTAGCCAATAACGCAGACAATGTCAGAATATCAACGTGCGACAATAAAAAGTGGGACAAAGATGATAATAAGCAAGATAGCAATAACTCTGTGACATGTACTGGTGCTAAAAGTGCATAAATTATGATACATGCATCAGGCAAAACTAGTCAAAATGTTTGTAAGGCCTGTCGAGTGTCAGTGGACCTAGCCAAATCATCCGGATGTCGACTCACTGTATATCGAACAGTTTGCTGGTCATCCTTCAGGTCAGTGACAACCGACACGCATCAGTTAATCGCACGCCGAGGACTGGCCCATGTGGTTGTGATCGTACTCTTGCTAATATATCTCAGCAATAACGTCCTTTATATTTTACAGTCTTCAAAGCAATCGTGGTACCTCGACACGACATAACGAGTAATCCACGTCAAATGCTGCTCGCAAGGTGTGACTTCGAAGTCGACTGGTTCGTCGCACCATTGCCGTCTAACTCGAATAGTCATCCAATCATACGACATAAATTGTCTGCATCAATGGTCTATATCAGAAGAGGTTGGTGGAGATTTTAGAAATTTCACAGATTGAAATCTTGAGCCAATTGAAGCTAGACCACCAAGGCGCAGCTTCGCGGATTGGTTGAAGTTAGACATTCACACCACTGGATGCCGGCTCAGTGGTCTAGTTGGTTAAGCTCCTGGCGCGAGACTGATACTCAACATCCATTGGCCGGATACCATCAGCAACAGCCTTCTGTGGGAGAAAACAAACCAGCTTCCATCTGAAGAGGAAATTAGGAAAAGACGATGGAAATGGATAGGACACGCATTGAGGAAATTATCAAACTGCATCACGAGTCAAGTCGTAACTTGGAATCCTGAAGGGAAGCTGAAAAGAGGAAGGCCAAAGAGCAGATATGAAAAGGATGAATAACAACTAGAAAGAGCTGGAAATGATTGCCCAGGACAGGGTTGGATGGCGAGTGCTGGTTGGCGGCCTATGCTCCTTCACGAGGAGTAACAGGCATAAGTAAGTAAGTGAGCGAAACTGACAGGTCCTAGGTCCGAATCCCGCGGGGTGCGGGATCGTGGATGCGCACTGCTGAAGAGTTCCATACTAGGACGAAACGGCTGACCAGTGCCTCCAGATTTTCAATGGCGGTCTAGCTTCAAATGATTCATGATTTCAATCAGTGGTCTATGTGTCAGTCAATGTGTCAGTGTGTGTTTCTCAGGTCTCATCTCAAATCTGTCCATTGAGGAAACTGTGGTCACTTTGAGTGAGAAGAGATGCTGAATAAAAGTGACTATAAGTGCAGAAACGTGGTAGCGCAACTAGGGTTTTATTCGTTGGTGTGCGATTTTATGAGCGTTGCCTTGATTAACGTAATGGTGATGTCCGATTGGGGTCTTTGTGTCCATTTCATTTGACTTCAATTAAGTCATATGATAACGTTATAAAAATATGAATCCCAACAACCCTTCCCCTGAATAATTGATGACTAAATTCACTTTTAAGAATAATGTAATAAATTGTGTAAAATACGAGAATTATTTTGGAATACGTATATTTCGTACATTCGTTGAGCCGGACCGACATTCGGAATGAGAGGCAAGAAAGAAAAACGAAGCAGAGAAGGCAGGTGAGCCAACTCGATATTTACAGTGTGACAAAAATAAGTTACAGACAGTCAATGAATTAACTGAGCACTTAACAAACACGCTCATATAACAATTCAATATTAACAATCGTTGACTGCCTACTGGAAACGGATACTGAGGTTCGTGTGGATAGATGTTTCATCACATGTTGTAAGAGATACTGTTACCGATTCTCCGGTATCGAACACTTATCTATTAACCATTCCTTTTGGTGATTATCACGCTATTTTGTACTAGAGAAACCTTTAACTTTATGAAATAAGGTGTACTGTTTGATGTACTTTGTACTTTTTTCTCTCTCCGCTTAGAACCCGTTAAAGTCGGCGCAGAGTTTGCGTTTCGCTATAATCTAATGAGTCACCTGAAAAAACTTTTTACGCTTTACAGAAAAACATAAGTTGGACCTAATCAATCAAATTTCGGTTCGTTAGCTCTGCGTTCAGACCAATTACTGGAATTTGTTTGTTAAATGAGTCCTTAAGATCACATGACATTTCTTCTCGAAGTGCTGCTGGGAAGTCACGAGGACCACCTCAGGTGTTGGTGAATCCCAGGACATAATCATTTGTATTGAGCGGGTGTACATACAGTCTGGTCCGCCGTCATTACCTTAATTTTCGGCATTACCCTCAACGTTCCCGTTGGTATTAACCTTTAGTAGCTTCTTGAGAGGATGGTTAGAAGTGTTTGAGATGACGTAAGCCGTCAGAAGATCGTCACTTATGCGTTTATACTCTAAATCGTATAGGTTTATTGATTTACGATGTCTTTCCTAAAGTTTAAATTTGAGTTCCGAAATGAATGTCGCCTGCCTTAGGATACGCTTTAGGGTATTTTTATTCTTTCTACGTGAATGTGGGAACAGCATTTTTTTGCTGCTATTAAGGATGAATATAAAATAATAAAGTACATCTTCGTGCGGTCAAACCGGCTAAAATCCGTTTCATAGTTATCGGTACAAAGTTTATCACAGTCAGAGTAAGTATTTAGATCATATGATGACAAATATCATTGATATTTTCCAACCTCGGAAGCCTGTAATAGAAATCTGTTTGAGTTGCACGTGAAGATTGTAACATTTCTCGGAAGGACTCCTGTAGACTTTGAAGTTTTGAAAGTAAGTTCGGCTCTAAAGTTTGATCAGATCGTTTTGAAGTTTCGGGTTGTCATTCTGGCTGCAAACCTCTCTGTAAAGTTCAACACCGTCAGTGATGAACAACTACCCGGGCGATACTTACTTGAGAAGATCATATATATGAACTGGTAAGAAGATAGATGCCAGTGCCGAACCTTGGTTGACCTTAATCTAGCTTGAAAAAATGTGATCTGCTTCAACACTATAAAATCGGTTGTTTAGAAATGACGCTAAATTCTATATCAACCGTGAGTCAAAATCTATCAGCTTGAGCTTGTTGATAAGACACATTCAGCCCGAATTCAACAGTCCTGCATTTATGTGCCAACATTTTGTTGTGTTTTCTCTACAGAAAAACTTTTGTTATGATCCCGAAGAAAATGGCAGAACAATTTTGACTTAATAAATTACATAACATTTGTAAGTTTGATCTTGAATGTAAGTTGGCATACCTCATGTATGCTGTATTTAGTGAGACTGAATTAATATGACTGTTACTATGATTATTATTACGTTGGTCAGCAAAAGAAAGTGGCGCTTCCTATGCCTGCACACTTGGGGTGAAAATCAGTTTGCAGATGAGAAATAGTCACGTGAGCTCCCATACATCAGAGATTTCATAATTTTTGAGGGCGTTGAAAGAAGTGTTACTGGCGGATATCTTCAAGGCCTTTTGTGTCCGACACATAAAAATGAGAATGACTGTTCAAGATCACGCCTTGCTTTGGTGACTGTGAGAATATTGCAGCAAGGGACATTACAAAGACCAAATCCGATTTTCTCGGTAAACAGAGTAAACGCTACTCAGCCTAGATGTTTCCTTTGTCAGATTCTGTGATTTTGGGTATACCAGTTCAGTGTTTAGATTCAATTTGCACACTCCTTATAAACTATAGGTGGGGTCGTTTGAGATAGAATGTTCGAGAAAACTGTTCTAACGGAAACTGCAGTACGATTTTCCATCAGGACCCAACACGTGAGACTCTGGCTTTGGTTTGCTAAAGATGGAGTCAGCCTTCGAGATATGAGACAAAACCCTTAATCAGCCCTAATAAATAGTAGTTCCTATTTTCACTTGGTGCCTTTGTGCACTCCTTAACTTGATTTAACTGCCTGTATATGCTGTTATTACTGGCTCAAGTGTATTCTGCCCAGTAGTCTCTTTTGGAATTTAAATTCATGCTGTTATAGAGTGTCTGTGTTGTTGCGTTTGACAGATTAAGAGGTAAAGGCCAATAACTTCCCTATGATAGGGTGATGGACGTTCAGAATGATTCAGAATATATGTTGAGAAGGCACTGTAAGAAAAAATGCGAGTACCAATAAAATTAGTGGTACCAAAGGTCTACTTTTTTTCAACTAGCACAGACACTTGACAAAATCTAATTGTCCTAATACAAAATATTTTCCTGTCAGTTAAGGAATACTATTTCACCCAAAGAAAAACGGTGAACAAACTCAAATCGCTCCAGTAATTAACAACTGACTAGAGACTAATGATCATGCAAAAAATACAGTCAACTACCAGAATGAGCTCATGGTAATCAGTAACAAGCGAATTGTCACATAACGTGGTGATCAGAAAGTCCCTTTCCACTGTACTTTCGGATAGAACACTGGAACTATGTGACCATATCACTGTGCTCCATCTCAGTGAGGCATTCAAAATCAGCGGGTTGAAAATTCTTCATTGCCTTGCCATAACATGCTAACGCAGTATCTGTAATATGAATTGTGTTCATCGACCAGCCTTAATATTTACATTGTAGGTGTGAACATCTGTGTCACTAGTCGTTTTTTGAAATGGCTCACTGTGTTCAGAAGTTTTCAGAAATTTGTATTCAATGTGATACGAAATGAAAACCATAGAAAACGACGAGTGCTAGTACTTTATTTATCTCCGTCCGTGCTTCGGCGTTGCCATCCCACGCATACGATCTTTCCAGTGCTTTTGCATTGGTCCCCGGCTATGTCAGATTAAACGTGTGTGGTCAGTGGGACAGTATATTCTTTTCAGTTTAGATATTGGTACTATCGGGCTATCTGGTGTCGTCAACTACAACAATAATGAGACATGTTTCAGGCTCTATCCATTCATATGAAACAAAGTAGGACTCTACGTGAGATGGTAGGCCGTAAAGTACATTTGCCACTGGCGGAGTCTTTGGGCTAGGCAGTTGTTATGCCACACAACCAACCAATACACAGAGACGACCTTAGGCAGCCAACGCTCAGTAAGAAAGTGGATGATTGCAACTCTGTGCCCAATATTAACTAGACTCGAACGAAGAAAAAGAACGCGAGACCAATATTCAGCAGTTCAGGATTGTCATTATATTTTAGACATCCAATTTTATACATACAAGACCAGACCACAAAGCAGATCAGTTGGGCAGCAGTATTACCATAGAAAAACAACATTAATGATGGGAAAGCGGAGTAGTGGATACACAGTGAGTCCGTTCCTGCTTACAAGCGAAAAATGCTATATCAAAGAATTATAGTATAAATAAGATCTTACCATTATGTTAATGAGAAAAAGTCAAACACATGATAGACAGTCAAAAAATATAGATAAGAGTTAAAAGATGGAAAAATAGCTTCAAATATTATTACCTCATGGTTACAACAGCAGCAATTTTACATCACGGCTACATATAACTCGTTCACTTCCTTTCCATTCAAACGACAATAGTGAGGGTGCCACCATCCAGTCAACATTAATTGTGATAGGACGTGACTCAGGTTAATAAGCAGGAAACAACTTCAATTGGAATCAGATCAACGATCCATCAAACTAGTAAGCTTCAGGCGATAGACATATACACAAGTACGAACAAAGCGCATGAGCGGACAAATACGAGGACACAAAAATAAAACATTCGTTCGTGCTAAAATTCACAAGTTCCTATGAAAACATGTTATGGTGGAAATAGAAGGGATGAATAGTCACATGTTGTCTGGGTTATTAAGTCGTTCCAGAATTAGGATGAAGCATGTGTGTATAATTGCTAGACACTAAACATTACTTATGACTTACTACGTATTATAGGTTGAACCTTCACTATCGTGTTAAGGAGCAGTTCCCCGTGTCACCTGAATAACAGACCCTATTGCTGAGCAATTAACAACCCCTCATGCGTTGAAAACACTTGTATATTATTTAGATTGAAAATTACGATTATGTTTCACTTCGACCCCTTAAGTATGGTCATAAGGTTGTGGTTTCTAGAGGCCCCCAACTTCGCATTGATCTACTCTCGACCATCAGTCGTACATCGCAACGTGAACTTCATAAAGCGCGTTATATTGACAATACGAGCCTTACTAAAAACATGTACATTCATATCTCATAAAATATCAATCCAGTTGAGTAATTGTATCATTTGTAACAATTTGATTTTGCTTGTAAACTGACATGCCTCATGTAACAATCTGTCATTTGAGAATGAATTATTATTATCATTTGTATAGCTTATTTCACTTAACTCACCCATTTTGTATGGTGGACATGTGGCTTTTGATTGTAAATACTTGTTTCATTCGTTGCGAAATACATGTGTGTCCTTGTCCTGTTTACTTGAATGGGGTTTACACAGATATAAAAGTAATTTGAATACACGGGCTTTTTAAACAGGCGAACTATACCACTTGTGTCACGTTCAAAACATCAACAGCCCTGGATTATTCTCCTGTACAGCCACAGACCTGATATTTATTCGCCTACAGAGCCCTGTCATCAGAAGGAAAATAACTTGATAAACAAGTGGTGTTGTTTGGCCTATACATAATCCCCGTTCAGTAGATATAGAAAATTTTAAAGGTGATCTTAGTGGATTTATCAACAAATAGCTGAAACGCATGAAGCCCTAATTTAAACATATCGACCTTTTACTATTCAACACAGAAAAACAGGAAATGTAATGATCAGACAAAAGAAGGAGGTAAATATATATTTTACCTGTAAAGTTTTAATCCTAATGTAAGGTTGTCGACTAACTCCTAATCATTTAACTTAGATTGTAACAGCACAATTGAAAATGAAAAATAAATATAAAGATGAAAATGTACAGTACCTGAATAATTTTTAACCAGTTCTATACAACTAACAGGTACTCACAAATCAGGATTAGTTCAATCTGCATCATAGGTCAGTAATCAAACGTTGACTTTCTCAGGAAGTGAACGATCTAAGTTCTCAATGGCAATAAGCTTTTATAACTAACGGAATGTGTTAACTCTATCTCTTAAGGATATTCAATCTAGTGAATAAAGCAATAATAGCCAGGAATACATTCACTAAATCTTATTGCCATCGATAACGGCGACTAAGCCAAAACATTAGGTCGAACACTGAGAAACTACACATCAAGAGAAATGTTAGAAGACTATAGATAGAGACAAGGTGAATGGTTCCATATCCTTGCAAATCAGAATTTGTAGGGAAGTTGCAAGTAAAAGGGATAGAAAGTGTTAACTTTACATTCAAGTGAAGATAATGAGTTTTCATCACATTCATTCCATTCTATATCTGTTATCCCTAAGCACGAAATACCTCCAGAGTAGAAGCCTCCACTTCGGACGTAGAGAAAGTCTTCATAATTAGCCGGGGTCTATTACTCTCGTCCTCCTTGGCAAAACTGTAGCAATTGTTGAATAGAGATACCCCCAAACGTTAAGAAATGAGTTATCATCCTTTACAGAGACCCTACGCAATAATGTTCCTTCCGCGAAACAGCATTTTGCAGGATTCCTTTGGGATATTCTTTTTGAAATTACATTGGTCGGCCTAAAAGAATAAAATTCTTCACGTCTCCAGCGCCAATGAATGTATAAAAACGAGTTTTGAGAAACTTTCTTGTCCAGTATCATTCCATCGTGCAGGTCGTATTACTGTCAATAAATAAATTTTAAGGAGTTCGAGCCTTCTGTTTATATCTCTACTAATCAAGGTCGTTAGAACTAGCAAATCTTTGAGTGCCGGGAGACGGTATCGCGTTTTTGTATTTGTCTACATGAGTTAATTTTTACTGTAGAAATTCTGAATTATATTAATTATCAACTTGACTGTTGTCATTTTAGATTGGGGGTAACTCTTATGGTGTTAGTTGAGATTTACAGATTCCATTACAAGCTTTCTAAAACTGTCAGTCAGTTATCAGCAACAAAAAATTACAGTCTATAAGTCTACATTGGATATAGTAGTAAAATATGCGTTATCGATACGATGCGTTACATATATGGAACTTGTGTGTTCCATCTTAGAGCTGGAACTTTATCGTATACGATATATTGATTACATGTCATCAATACGACAAATGTCGTGGGCTAAATATAATATAAAGTTCTTTGGTGTATACTACTCAGAGTAAAAATTTAAATGATTATAAAGATTGGTAGAAGCTACACATTTGTTTAAGGGGGAGGTAGATGAATTTGAGACTAATATCCAGATTGTGTAACGCAAAAGAAGCATATCACACTGGTTGTTTTGGTATATGGTCGTTATGCTTGACAAGGCGTCTCTAGTTGTCTGTATCTGCTAGAACTAAACCGACCAATGCCACCATTAGACGTCTATAGCTGTTTCTTTCGAGGATTTATTTGTCAACGCAATCTACAGGGTCATTCGATTTTGAGCGTTTCAAATTATTAGGCTCGTGTTTGTATATCACTAGGATTGGTTTGTCCGGTTTATTCTAAAATAAGTTTGCTATTTTAAAGAACGACGAACCAAGTGTCACTCTTTACAATGCTTCCATGAATAAATCACCCACAGGCATGGGTAAATTTAAAAACTGAACATATTGAGGTTCATTTTTGTCCAATAGTTAATTGATTTGTTAAACAGATGAGACTAATATGAAAGCAATATTTCCGTGATGTTTGTAGGAGTTGTTTTGCATTTGATTGAAAAAGTCACCTTACCAGACTCTTAAATGTCTTTATAGATGCAGCGTAGACACTAAATAATGGTAGCTAATTGCAAGTTGTCCTCCTACGTCGGAAACTAGATTTACTTTGATGCGTTACCAGGCATGCTAAACTGACGTGGTAAATAGTCCGTCATCGGTATCCGCGCTTAGAGATAAAACGTGACGGTATAATGCATACAGGCATTGTAACTTTTCAGACTGATAGTCAGTTATCCATTCGCAACGTAGAGCCTGGTACGTATGCACATTGGCTCATGGTGCCGTGGCCCATTAGCAAAGAGAGGTAAAATCGTCAGGCCAAATTCCATAATTTTTGAGTGGTAACAGTTGGAGTTTCTGGATTAGTTTTAAATAAACATTTTAGTCTGCACAGTCATTCTAACCTTGCTTAGGAGGCTTACATATTTTCCTAAAATGACATACTGGTTTGTTCTTTGATAGAGAATTTGCGGCGACCATTAAATTACTAACAGATGGGTGGTGATAAAAACCCGTTGTTTGAATGGTCAGATGAGTCAGATATGTTGTCGAAATACTCAACTCTCTGTTATAGCTAAGGTAATTAAATACGACTTTTCTACTGTCTTACATTTTCGAAGCTTAGAAAAGAAGATTAGTTGTTTTCATTAGATGACAAAATACTTAGTTTACATTTTTTCACGAAGTTCATAAAATAAACATTTTAATGTTTCATCACTACTATGAACTGTCAGTGTTTTTCAATCACTAGTTTGACTTGTATTTTTTTATATAACTACCTCTTGACGTGTGGTAATTGTCTACTTTGAGCCATATTTTTAAAAGTAATTATTGAGGTTTGTTTGACATTACTTATTGATACTTACATTTCTAAAATTTAGGGTTCAGGTTTTGTGTCAGATAAACTTCTATTACGTGTAAGTAAATAGTTTCAATTATTCTACACGTGTAAAAACAGAATGTCAAAAGTTTATTTGATCGATTTTATGTGACTGGATCTCTTTACGTTATCGTATTGACATGAATGATTTTCAGAAGTTATTATTAATTTTTGGTGGATTTGTTTCGTATATGCTGGCTGATGGATACACTTACTCTATGGGTATATTATATTCGGAGCTCATGAGTGCTTTCCATCTTAGTAGTGTTGAAACTGCCACCCTACCTGGAATGATTTTCTCAATGCCTCAATTTTTTGCACCCTTTCTGTGTCCACTACTTGACACTTATGGGTTTTCGTCAGGTTCTGCATGGGGTGCACTGTTAATGTGGGTCGGATGCTTTGGTAAGTTTAGAATGTGGTTATAATTCTATACTAAATATACTATTTTAGTTTCCTCATTTGCGAACAGCTTTCACATTTTATACTTGACTCTGGGCATATTGACCAGTATTGGACTTCAGTTGACATATTTATCTGCACTGATGTCAGTTACTGCCCAATTCGAGAACAGTTCATAGTGAGTTGAATTTTTAACTTTAGTTTTCACATGAGCAATAAGGTTTTAGATGTTTTCAGTTTTTTGACTCATTAGCGACAACAAATTACATTGATCTACATGAAAACTAATTCTTGGGGATAAAATGCGTAAAATGATTAGTTAACGGTTTACCATATAAATATACATATATGTGGTGTAAAAGTAGAATTATTACGATTGTGTTGGATAAACCCTTTAAAGAATCCTCAGCGAGACTCTAATTTATGGACGACTTTTGAATGAATCTTAAGTGACCTTGATAAATATTAGCCAATCAGCAAACAGTCAGTATGGAGTAAAAATATGTTATACAAAACCAAGGAAATAAGGTGGATACACTTCTTATACGTGTTTCAAAAACTTATCAAGGTTAGAAAGAGGTTCTAAAATCATCCATACGGCTACAGAATAGTCGGCCTCTGGAGCCATGATAAAGTCTCAAAAACTCTTTCAGCCTCGACCACATAGCTTCAATATTGTTTATGTGCACTCCGGTTGTTGAGTGCACAAAATGCTACTTGTGGATAACGACACGATGCACATAACCAAGTCTATTCAGGAGTCTGTACGCTCTCCAAACATCCGTATATATTGTAGTGCCTGGCTGAAGCTAGTATAACTGGTGCTTTTATTATCCAGTTCGCAATAACTGTCAGAATTTGCCTTAGCTAGGAATTATATATGGAGTTTTCATCACGAACTGACATAAGCTATAATGCCAGAAATTTATTTAGCCAAATGGGTGAAAGACTTTTGCGTTGAAATCCGAGATCTATTATCTTATACCCGATTGATTCGTCCACAAATTATAGTCTCGCCGTTTTATTTGTTATAGCCTCTCAATTATCACGCTTTGTACAAAATTTCCTGTGAACCGATCGTACGTTAGCATTAAGCACTGAAGTTCGCCCCGTAACCTTAAAATCTCTAAGACGCTTCTGATCAGCTCGTCCATAAATTAGTCTCGCCGAATCCTCTGTTTGAATGACAACACAGAGAGTGTCAGTACTTCACTTTTTATGCCTTAAACACTGGTAAATGGGAAAAAAGAATCCTAGCTAAAAGTGCTTGTTTGACACTCGTTACAAATGTAATGCATTCAAAAATAAATCTGTATTTTAATGATAATCTCGGATCTGATCAAGAATAAATTCTTCAGAATGCTAGTTTGAAGGTGTCGAGTGTGAATTTAAGTAATTTCACTTCCAACATCCTGATAAAATTTTAATACACTTTAATTATGATAATGTATGCAGTTGCTTGGTAAATGGTAATATTTTGAAACTAAGGCTTGATACCAGAATCTTACGTACGTTGATGTCGACACAAAAACCAGAAGTACTTCTGAATAGGTGGCTGCAAAAATGAATATATCTACTTTTTTGAATCTCCTTTTCTTTCAAGGCTTCTAATGAACTCATATATATTTATTCTAGTTTCCTTGAGATTAGTGTGGTCTCGTAATTTTCATTTTTTTGTCCGGTTTGTTACTTTTTAACTGCAAACAGTTACTTATTTTCCCGTGATATACAAAACGATAAGTATAATAAGTCAGCAGAAAATCATTATGACGAAGTGTACGCTTAAAAATTCATATAATAGGTAAATCAACGAAAAAATACTTTGAACAAAAACACAAGCAAGATAGCTTTCTTTCACGGTAAAGATGTATTTTGATTTGTGTAAAGAGCAGAACTTCTCTCATCGACGTGTTTTACATTATACATTTTAAGGTCAGATTAACGTTTTCACACCACCACAGATAACCCAGGTGATAGAAAGGATTTCGGGCTTTATTACACGTAGACAAACTGCAGTATCTTTACCAATACAAGTAATTAGAGACAATATGAACTTGAATATTTTCAAAAGATTTTAACCAAGACTAAGTAAATGTTCAAACTCACTCTAATTATATAGAAGCAAAGAGCATGCAATACTTAAAGACAGCGTTCTTCCTTATTATTGCTGTTCGATCACCTTTTTATCTGGCCTACTTCTTACCTCTGTTCTGATGTAAAGTGTGGTAACCTAAAGCGACGCCCATTTGTCTCAGATACTACATTATTTATGACTCATAAAAGTTAATTTTTACTTTAGACCGACATAAGCTAAAAGAATTGGCCAACACTTTGTCAGTGTTCCGACTGGTTCTGAATGTTTCATTTCAGTTGCCGAATGGTTCCTAGTTCAAACTGGTTTTTTGTCCGATCATAAGTCCTCACAGCTGACGAATCCTAAGCCATGAATAGAGAGCTGTTTGGTAATCACTAGGTTCCAATGGTTTTTGAACTTCTTCTGTCCATGAAAAATAAATTTATAGAAGCAATACAAATCCTACGAAATATTCAAGCATATAACTCAGTTTTGATTCGTTCTTAAGTAGGAGCTGACACTGATTAAAAATATAGGCGTTCCATGTTATCTTTTTCTTTTTTTCAAAAGGAAAAATACGTCTGTGTATTGAAAGGAATACCGAGGATAGTTCTGACAAATCATTTATTAGCATACGTATGACGTTGGTGTTTGTTTTCTATACTTAACTAACTGTACTCTCCTATACATGTTCAAAATCCTATTCACTAGACACTTGAATAATTATCTAGCTTTTCATCAAAAAACTCAAAAAATGTATGTCAGGTTGTATTGGACTACAAATTGACAAATTAAATAGTTATTTATTATTGAAAAATAACAAAAAACGAGAGTGCATATCAGTGCTATTTCCTTTTATCATGTCATCTGATAAAATAATGGTATTATTAGACAGTCCACTGCTTGAAGGAATACTTAATTAGCAAATAACTCCTAAACCTTATAAAAACAGATGAGGTATTCACGAATTTTAGAAATGCTTTCTTTGTTGATACAGATAGTTCTTATACTCAGTTTTTCAACTTAACGGAACTAAATAACCAACCACTCACTCATGTAACCCGATTCATACCATCCTTTTTGTGTGATGGACAGTAATCCTAACTGGTTATCTAAACCAATTTATATAGAATGAGGTTCAAAGCTACAACTATATGGCAGAGATCTACCTGACTTGATAATGCGAAATTTGCCTAGAAATATTAGAGCTTAGCTAATTTAGCTTACTATGGACTCTTTCTTTTTTTCTTATGTCATTTTCCCAAAAAACTTTTCCATTAATTAGTTTACTTAACTCAAGGGATATAACAGTTTTCACAAAAAATCGAATTGTTTATCATTTCCTAGAGGTTTAGCTAAAATATGAATGTTTGTATCAGAAGAACAACAATAATAATAGAATAACCCTGATTTATTTACTATGTAGACTATTTGCAGTTTCTTACAACCTCAAAACAACATTACTTATTGTTAAAACGAGTGTGCATACTTGATGTCACGTTTAAGGAGATGTTTTGATCAAATTTGAAATTAATAAAGAGTTAGATTTCCAAAATCTAAGGAATATGAAAAATGGTATTAACCTCTCATATAATTAATTACCTTTAGGTTATATGTATAAATAGTTTATGAGAGAAAAATGAGAAACACATGAAAATCGGCTTCTAGAAATGAAATATTAATATCGTATTTTACGTATAATACATTACTATTACAATTATTATTTTTGCCTTAATAAATCTTGTAAAGAATGAGAGCTGAATACATAATAAATAGAAGCGAAATACCTCTACTAATTGAAAATAATTGATTTCACCAATGTAAAAAAATAAATGAAGTTTAGCAATTTTCTGAACTTTGAATTCACTTTTAGTGATAAACCGATCCTTATGTATTTTAATTTTTATGATTTGGTCCTATCTTACATCCTTTCATTTTACTGTACTTAAATAAAATTTTAAGCGTAACTTGAAATCAAACGGATTTGTCTAAGCTTTTCTGTTTTTTGTTATATTCTCAAGTTTAACATCTCTTTATCGTATCTGCATATATTTCATTCATATTGATATTACTTTCGAGGTTCTTCATAACATATTAGTACTTGCCGTCTTTTTGTGTTACATTAATACATACTAAGATTTCAATACAAACGTTTAGAGAATGTACAACGGTTTTTAATTATATTCACATAGAAGTCAACTGCAGAAGCTTCATCCATTTTATTCTTCTTAAAACTTTCCTGATAGATTAATAAAAATTCATGATGAATTTGCATGTTAATTTCATTAAGATATTTATGAAGTAGTCTGAATTCAGGTATCTAAGATGTGAATACTGTTTTGTTCACTTTTTTCATATATAGTTTGGATTCAATACTAGTATTAGTAAATTGAATGAGCAAACTTAACCTGGCGTAGTAAATGATCATTTTCTTAGCGTAAGATAATTATTAAGTTGACCTAAAATCCATGAAAAAAGCTACAACTAACGAAACAATAGTTTCCTGAACAGATACTCAAGTTATTTTCAATAGTTATTTGTCACTAAAAAACTTTATGTTTATGGATATAGATCTTTATTACTGACTTTTCCTTGTAAAGCACTTTTTGTTTCAGCTTCTGAGGTTTTCCACGACAAATTATTATTTCCCAAAATATCTTTACATTTAGTTTTGGTTTAGCCATAGGACTCACTATGTGTGGTTCAGGTGTTGGTGCATTTGGGTCGAATTACCTTCTTTCTTGGTTCCTAAGTATTTGGAATTGGCGTGAGGTGTTATTGATCGAGTCCGCCATACTTCTGAACATTTTGGTTACAGCATCGTGTTCTCATCATTTAGATGCAGAACTAAACGCTATAACATTAGTGAAACATGAGCTGAGTTATCCTGACGGTGTAAGTCATCGTAAAGGCTATCATTGTTTGATTAAAATATAATGTTACAATATTTTATTGTTCAAATCATGCAAAGTTAAAGTACGTTTATAGTCCCAAGTGGAACTTTTCTTAAAATCTCTCTAAATTTCGTTTTGTAGCTATTTAAAGAACTGATTTGGCAATAGACATATATTATGAGAAGTTATGCAGCAAATTTGCAATTGCTGTTTTAGATGAACTTACAGAAAAATAACATTTTTTACTTATCAACCAAAAGCATTAATTATCCATCACACTAGACTATGATACAATAGGAAACCAACTGATTATGAACAGGACTGTACTTCTTAAACATATTTCGGATTTTATTTTCATACATTAGTTTTTATCAAAGGAACAATACAGTATTTCTTGAAAGGATATTTATAACTATTCTCGTGATTAAATAACGTTTAACAGAATTCATCCATCACAATTGGAATACTACTAGAAAAAGTTTTACTATGAATATTCCCAGGCTTTATGCATGGGTTTATGATCAACAATCATGGATACCCAAATATAGGAATTACAGTTCCAACAATAAGCTTGTTAATTGGGTTAGATAAACTAATTCGTTACCTTTTGGTTGGACATCTAGCATAAAATTCTAAAAGAACGAAGGTACATTACTATGTATCTTCTTGAATATAATAACATCAGTTTGAATTTTATGAAGGTAAGGTTTTCCTTGCAATTATAGTTTCCTCACTGTCGTAAAGTATTTTGAGCTATGTACATGCTTTCACTAAGGTAATTTCGTGGTGCTAGAAATGTTTGTTATGTAAATTGATAAAATTAGCCATTTTGTGTGGGTATGTAGAAACGGCCGTTTCAAATAACTTGAAATGGACATACTTTGTGTGTCAATCATTCGAGTTGTGACAATAGTTTCAGATCATTCTCTGTCATCACCTTGAAAGTACTGCTAAGCGCAATCATTTATAATAAGACGCATTTAAACCTGAAGTTACTAAAGCCGATTATAATGTGTGTAGATTATAATGTGATATCCATAATATCATTTTAGTGAAGCTTTTGGAAACATTATCTTTGCTCAAGAAAAGAAGTTGTACTAGGTCACGATGGTTCAGACACCGAAAGGAATATATGCATTTATTATTTGTGAAGTATCCTACTTATAATTGAAATCCAATAAGTGTTATTGGCTGCCCTCAACTGCTTAATAGTAACAGTGGTGTAATTTGATCTCGATCCATGTTCGTCAAGGAAATTACACTAATTATTTAACTTGGAGATTTCTGTCATCAATCCGAACCTAATGGGGTGACATTAGTTACTATCCAATGACTTGATAGATGTTGGAAATGCCAGATATCCAGAAATCACTTGGTAACCGTCATGTTTTTGTGATTTTGTATTGGAAATTTGAATCTCTCGTTTTCACGCCAGAAGTGCCCATTTTTACCTTCAGATTGTATTTCCCACTTGCGTATGCCCGAACACCGATTACCACGACGAGCAATGCTTGGGGTCCGCTTGACTATCGTAACCAATGGTTGAAGACTCTGGATGACATGGCTCAGAATCGATCACAATGGCGTCGGTGTATACATTCCTTGTCTTCCTTTAAACTATGAAATTAAAATCACTCCATATCTTTCTTTCTGTGAACTAATTCCTTCTTCCTGTAAAATGTCCTCATATGCAATCTTTCTTTGATATATGACCGCCACTGAATTAACTACTTCTATGAATCCAGTGTACATCTTGTTGTGCTAATGAGGTATGGCAACTTGGACCGATGCACTTATATGCCTGGTCCTACGTTGTAGCTGACTGACTGAATAAGCTCCTAAATTATCAAACTACATTTTAATTACCTTTTGCATTGCCCAATACTAGTAAATTTGGAATAAAGCTATATGGAGTGTTAGTTTTAGAAATGTAATTAAATGTATACATTTTTTTATATTTCAGCTAGGTATGTTGTGTCAGTCGTTCGTTGCTCTTTTAATGCGCTATTTTGTGACGTTCCACAAGGACATTTTTATACTATATGTCTATGCTTGAGTTGACAGCCTATTTGTTCATGCTTCTAGCTGCTTGTAAAATATAACTTTCTCTCATCTGAACCTAGTCTTCGCCCTTTAGTTAGCTGGGTTGGGATCCATAGGAATAGTTTAACTTGTCTGTAGTTGTGTCGCCGATTCTTCGTCCCGTCGCCGATTTTAGGTGGTCCCGTGATCTCTTCAAAAATATCAATAGTGAACTCTGAATTTTCAATGCTCCATTAGAGAGAATGAGGACAATGCAACGGAGAAAATTTTCTTTCCGACGACATCATTTTTCAATGCTGTACAATCGTACTTATAAGTTTTTTATATTACCCATAAATGCCCTTGTACAGCACAAGAAAATGATATCGTCGAAAGTGGATTTTTTTCTCCGAAATGTCTTCATTCTCTTTGACAAATCAATGGGCTTTTTTAAGTTTATTAAGGTAAATGTATATTTGAAATCAATAACTCCGGCCTTTAAAGTTATTAGAATACAAATGTGAATAAACAGATTAATAGTGTTGTTTGTACACCGTGATATGAAAATTGTTTTTTGGCATATGACATCTTACAGAATGATCGAAAGGAAGTAGATATAACAACCGATTTATTTCATGGGATTTAAGAAGAATATACATCTTAGTCGGTGCAAAAAGAAATTTTATTGTCATTAGACAGAATTATTTTAATAATCGTGTGATATATCTATCTAAATCTGGTAGTTTGAATTGTGACTTTTGACCGGATAACTACATATACAGTTTCTTTAAAATTAATAAATAAGCAGAATGCAAATAAAAAAATAGTGTATCAACTGATAGCATTCAACATCCTTAGACAAGTAATTTATTCAGTACATACAAGTTATCATCTATGACAATATAACTTGTTCTATGTTGCTATCCTTTGTGAAAACAATATGTATACTTTGTTTCGTAAATAAACGTAAAATTATGTTTGTTTGTGTATTTCACTCTGGGTTAACTGACATTGCTGTATTATTAGTGCATGTTTCATATTTTGAAAGAGATCATATATAAATGCACTGAACTTTACATTAATTAACCGATATGAACTAAAGTCAGAGTTTCAGTATTGATAAATTATGAGATGTTGGAGAAGATTTGTAGCTCAGGTGGATGATTTTGGTGGAGTTTTGTTCTCTGAGCTGGGTGGCTTGGTCATGGAGCTTTCATCGTTATTCTGAACGACATCATCAGCACAAACTTCAGATAGAAGTGAAGTGTTTCACAGCTTGTTCTGTGCACCTCGATGTTGATTGGTTCATATTGACCTTAAATTTATCATTGTTTACTTCTTTGTTTTGGTTGTGTCTCCCATTGGTTTGATTTTTGCTCCTATACTTGTGCATGATTTTCCTTATTGGTTGGTAAATTGGATTGATTTCAATATGCTTGTTGATTGCTGATTATTGTGGTTCGAAAATGGGAGAATTTCGCCAAAAGGCAGGCTTCCACTCGAGAACAAATATATTTTTTCCATGAGTGTCTTCGCCAGTTTGTTCTACCAACAAGTGTAAGATGTATACCTCCGACTGCCCATTAGGATGGAAAATAGCTGAGCAAAGTGGAAGAAAAATGATACACCTAATGAGAATGGATGCACACTACAGGATCCGCAAATACCGACACGTCATAAAGGACCAAAAGATGGAGCTACAAAGGACACTCACGTCAGAACATTTGGAAATCTTGACAACAACCATCGAGATATCATGCAAACGACACAGAGAACAAAGATGAAACACCGTAAAGAAAAAACTAATCAAGATCTCAAAACCACCCATGGAAGAAAACACAAACAACTGCGTGATCAATCTGTCAAAACAGCCACTAACAAATACGGAAGAAAACCTTCTCCAAAAAGGATTAAACTACAATACAAGCAACGCCTCAAAGCTGGAATTCTTCGCAGCACTAGAGTCATCACTCAAAACTTCCGGAATCAGTGAAGAAACACAACAGGAAATAAGAAAAACTATAGTACCTCTAACTCAACAGATGAAGGAAAACAACCAACTGACTCCACAAGAACAAAAGGCTTTGAAGGAACTCAGAAATAGAAAGGATATTATCATAATACCAACGGACAAAGGACGCACCACAGTAGTCATGGACAAAAAAGAATACATCAAAAAAGCCGAAGAACTACTTGAAGATAAGAGCACATACAAACTGATGGATACAAATCCCGTCAAAAAATTAGACAACCAGATCTCAAAGACTTTAAACAAGCTAGTCAAAGCAGGGGAAATAACAAAACAAAACCAATGGAGAATGAAATCCAATGGATTAGTACTCCCTCGATTCTACGGCAGACCAGAAATACACAAACCAAATATTCCACTACGTCCAATTGTAGCAGTCAATCAGCAATTAACAAGCATATTGAAATCAATCCAATTTACCAACCAATAAGGAAAATCATGCACAAGTATAGGAGCAAAAATCAAACCAATGGGAGACACAACCAAAACAAAGAAGTAAACAATGATAAATTTAAGGTCAATATGAACCAATCAACATCGAGGTGCACAGAACAAGCTGTGAAACACTTCACTTCTATCTGAAGTTTGTGCTGATGATGTCGTTCAGAATAACGATGAAAGCTCCATGACCAAGCCACCCAGCTCAGAGAACAAAACTCCACCAAAATTGATGAATTATGCATCAAACCCAAAATCCTATATTTCAATAACGAAAAAGGTTATAAATTCTAACAGTCTAGCTATTCAACACTTTGGATTTATGTATCTCTTCATATTATTCCATTTCATGATGTCTAACTGGCTTTCTCAAACATAGGATTGAAACGATTTATTTTACATAGTATGTCAATTTGTGAATATTCTCTTAATACTAATCGAAAGCAATCGATTATCACATAATTAGTGTATAACCATTATAACATTTACAACTACAAATTGACTTTTTTTTATTCCACCCTTCAATTATATGTCAGATGACATGGTTGAATTATTTGATTATTATAGCTGTCACATAGTAAATCATTTTCATTTCTCTCAATACCAATTTATATGGCTGTCTGTGCTGTTCTTCAGTTTTCTTCCATTATGTTGTTTTTATACTATCAGCAAATTTATCAGTTAAGTGAAGAATTAAATATCATAGTAATAATAATAATAATAGTCACGATTGATCAGTACTGATTTTTACCAATCAGACTAAATTTATATAAAAGATTATGTGTGATTATAGAAATTTATTTTAGAATAAGTTTAGTAAAATCTACGATTTTTAACGTTCTCATTAGATGATTGTAAGTAAAATGTAATTAAAACTTGGTATCAGGTCACTTTTTTTACTGTTTAAGCAATAGTATTTATCGATCCTTACAGTTCAATAACTTTAGTCTTTTTATAAATATTTTGGCAGACAACTATAAGTTACGTTTATTACCCTGATGAAGTCCAGACAAGTTAACTGGACGAAACGTTCTAATTATTTAAATTTCAATCAATGATATTATTCTAAATATAATTTTCACATATTATAAGTTATATAGTTTAATTTACCTGTAATAATGTGAAATTTTCAAAACATTTACAATTTTTTAAATACTTGATTGAGATATAATTTCTGTTTTCAAGATAGAAGATACAAACCATCAGAACAAGTATCCTTCTGAAGCAGATTTTGCCAGTGGTATGTATATCTTGTTTTTTAAATAATTTCACATTTTTGTACACGTTTGATTATATTATTGTCAATAAGCTTTATCAAAGAGTGTTAAAGATGAAAAATACTGAGAAATAAACGGTTTTAAAACTACTATTTTATTTTAGTTTAAACATCTTCGTTAACATGCCTTCTACACAATTAAATTGCTGGCTAAAGCCAACAAAATATAAAATTTCATTTTTAGAATCTTTAATTATCTAATCGTTCCGACACTTCTTTTTGTAAACTGTATACCGACTCGGTACGAAGCTGTTGATGGTTTTACAAGATGAGAGTTATAGCCATTTTCCAATTAGTGTCGGAAGCTGTTTAAATTTATGTTAGGTCCCGATAAACATAATGAATGGTAACTTTTGGGATTCATTTATGAACCAATACTATACGTATATTTTTATCGTATAATTGTTAAATAACTAAACTGCTCATATTCATGTCCCTCTTATTATAAGCTTTACTTTGACCTATGAACTATTATTTTACGATTTGCCATTCTTGAATTATGGCCTGTCTATTAATTCACTACCTCCCACATTCACATTTGGCCAAATCTTGTACAAATGTTGTTTCCTATTTTATGGTACGATGCGGTCTGTTTAATTGGCATATAAACCCCGTATGTTTGAAATAAATGATTCATATCGCAGAGGCTGATATTGGTGTTGTGGACTCAACTGGCTGGGCTAGGCGGAAAGCAGGACCAATCAAGACTGTAGACTGCTCGCACGTGTTTTACGCGTCTTTGATCCGATCGATAAGTCACTGCTCTCTAATCGGCGGTCACAAGATCTAGCAATTTATTCGTGGTTGAAATTTTGATTCGCTTTGCCCCTAAATGCCCTGGTACGGCCGAGAGTGGTGAGAGTCCGCTCTCCCTCTCGAAATGCTCTCACACGGCCACGCGTATATAGCCTCTGCCAGGGAAGTCCTACTCACTGCCTTTTCGTGGCGGGGGTGTTGTTTACGAAAATGAGAGGACGAAAAGCGAATGTCCGGCGCTTTAACCGGATTCCAAACCAATGGTGCACATGGGCACCAGTATCCTGCGGGAACAAATGGCGTATGAACCAATTGTTGGTCACCGGCTTCCATGGGACTGCATCTCCTTACGATGCTCCACTGCCTTGTGGATCAGACCATTAGGTCAAAGGCTCGGGGTGTGGCCCCCTAAGAAAACCATCTGCTTCAATTTGAGCACCCGGGCAGTATCACAGCTCTCACACAAATTTGATGAGATGATAAATATTTCAAAAAATACTATGCTCTATTCGATCAGAACTCAGGCATTTCACTTTTACTTGATAACATTCATATTTATTATCATAACTATTTTTTTATACGCTACATCACTTATCACTTTTTATTCTCACCTCATATATCCCCATTTTTCAACTTATACAGCAGCTCGCCCATGGTGGAAACTCTGTTCTATTGTTGGGATATTCAGGAAAATATGCTTCTGATTAGAGTCACACTAACTGTTACTTGGGTATATGAGGACCCAACATTATTTCGAGGGGGAGGATAGATGCGAGAAAAATTTGAAATCCGGACATCAACTCCGGATCTCCAAAAAAGGAAGGAGTTGGGATATTCAGGAAAATATCCCAAAAATTATCCTGTTAAGCCTAATGCTATCCTTGGACATGAAATGGTATCATCTTATTGGTCAATATTTTTTTAACGTTTCATTTTCCTACTGGCCATTATTGTACAATGTTGTTTCCTATTTTATGGTACGTTGTGGTCTGCTTGACTGGTATATAAGCAAAGTATGTTTGAAATATAATGATTCATATATCCGAGGCTGTGACTTGTGTTCTGGACTCAACTGGCTTGGCTAGACAGGGAAGCGGGACCAATCAGAACCCTAGGCCGTTCTACGTGTTTGTGCGTCTTTGGTCCGATCAATAATTCGCTACTCCTTAATCCGCAGCATCTATCTAAACGATCTCGAGTTACTGCCTGGTCGAAAGTTGAATGCCTCCACGGAATACGAATACTGAAACAGTCTTTCTGGAAACACGTACGCCATTCAAACTGGCTGCCTTCAACGTTCGCACAATAATGCAAATCGGACAACAGATAGGGCTGGCTACGTCTTTAGGAAGTCTTGATATCGACGTTTGCTCTCTATCCGAGACCCGTATTCAAGACTCTAGTGAAGTAGTACAAATTCGCCCTCTATCTGTCTCTTCAAAAGGCTTATTTTACGTGCGTTTATCCGGGAACCCTGTGGCATCTTCGTCTGGTCTTGCTGGCATTGGTGTCGCACTAAGCGCTAGAGCTGAGGCAGCACTAATCGACTGGGTTTCCACTAAAAGTCGGTTATGTGCTGTAGAATAGAAAGGTTCATCAAAGTGAGTAGGAATCGATGTGAGAAACAATGTCTTTTCGTCATCTCCGCCTATGCTCCGACAGATTGCAGCCCGGATGCAATCAAGGATGAATTCTACCACCAGTTAACTGTTCTTCTCCAGAAAGTGCGTTCGACAGATATTTTAGTACTAGCCGGAGACTTGAATGCTCAGGTCGGGCGTCTAGGCACAGGAGAGAGTCATTTAGGTGGCCAATGGGGACTTGTTGGTCGCAGTCCAGATAACGGGGACCGTCTACTGCAACTGCACAGACCACAACCTGTTTCTGGCTAGCGCTAACTTCCACCATAGTGATCACCGATGTGCCACCTGGAGTCCTCCTTCTGCATCTCAAGTCTGGACTCAGATTGATCACATCGCGATCATGTACGAGAATGCCACTCCTTTTGGAGTACCTATCTGGACTCTGATCATGCCCTTGTTTGCGCCAATCTTACTTTACTTTCTAGTGGCCAACGAATTCATCGTCCTATACGAATTGATGTCAGTAAACTGATTGCAACTTCCGTTGTAACTATATATCGAACCGAGCTAGATTCAAGGCTAAATATCATCCCACCGAAAAGTATAGATAAACATTGGTTGTCATTGCATGACGCCGTGAAAATGGCGAGTAAAGTCGCTTGCAGCTTCGCGAAACGTCCCACTTACAAGCACCGGGTTTCTTCAGGCTCCTTACAACTCATCGAAGCCCGTCGGTCTACTCCGGATGACCGTGAGTTTGACCATAAACGAAGGATGTTACGTAATGAAACAGAAAAGCTTGCGTAAAGACCGAGAAGTCTAGTTGTCGGAGCGTGCTAATGAATTGGAAGCAGCAGCTGCATCTGTTAATTACCGGAAGCTCTTCCAACTCATCCGAGCCACTGGCAGCAAGAATTCTGGTGTGAGCGAAACAATCTGCGAGGATGACAGGATGCCAATCACAAATATTCATCGACGTCTTGGACGATGGGCAGAATTTTTCGAAGGGCAGTTCAACTGGCCTGCTACCCTGGCAACATCGGCCAAACTGCCCTGCCCTCCATGGCCGGTAACCACTGATCCACCAAATGAGGCGGAAGTTCGCAAGGAACTCCAACTCTTGAAGCGTTACAAATCACCGGGCCAAGATGACTCTTTTTAAAGTTGGTGGTGACTTTCTGACTAAGGAATTGACGACGTTGTTTATAAAGGTCTGGGAACTAGAGAGTTTACCAACGTCATGGGAATGAGTCGATAGTTGTCCCTATCTCTAGAAAGGGTTCACGTCGCTTCTGTAACAACTATGGGGGATAAGTCTACTTCCGACTGCGTTCAAGCTATTGGCTTCCGTCATACTTCGTAGGTTGTTCAAAACCCGAGAAAGATTGACTCGCGATGAGCAGGCTGGTTTTCGTTGTGGTCGACGATGTATTGATTATATCTTCACCCTCAGCCAAATGTTAGAACACCGTTATACTTATCAAAGGCCAACAATCGTAGTGTTTCTTGACATCAGGGCTGCCTTCGTTTCGTTGTATTGGACTGTTCTCTGGGATTGTCTATTGAAGAAGGGTGTGCCTGAGAAGTTTATAAACATCTTAAAAGCTCTATATACAAACACCTCAGGCAGAGTGAGGGCATTCAACCACCTCTCTATATTGTTCCATTCAAGCGGTAGGGTTAGACAGGGTTGCCCAATCTCACCATTCCTCTTCAACTTTGCCATCGATGACATTCTGGAAACAGCTCCAATGGATGTAACTAATGACGGTGTGGATCTGTTGCCTGGAAAAAGACCTCTCGACCTTGAGTATGCGGATGGTATTGCCTTACTGTGCGATTATGCCCAAGTCATGCAATCCGCAATTAATCAGTTGGCAATCAGTGTCCGTAGGTATAGTATGTGCTTCGCACCTTCGAAGTGCAAGGTACTTCTACAAGACTGGCAGGATTCTAATCCTGTACTCACCCTGGATGGTGAGCAGATAGAAGTAGTCTAGAAGTTCGTGTATCTAATTAGCTGCATAAGTGCTGGTGGTGGCGTGAGTGATGAGATCAATGCACGTATAGTGAAAGCTAGAGCGGCTTATGCCAATCTGGGCCACCTTTGACGCCTTCGTGATGTTAGTCTGACTGTAAAAGGTCGGATCTACAACGCGTCGATGAGAGCAGTTTTGCTCTATGCTTGTGAAACCTGGCCTCTTCGAGTTGAGGATGTTAGACGACTCTCTGTGTTCGATCATCGTTGTCTCCGAAGGATTGCTGACATCTAGTGGCAACACCATGTTAGTAATGCAGAGGTTCGGCATCGTGTGTTTGGGCACAGAGACGATAATGCAATTGGTGTCACCATCTTGAAACACGGACTTCGGTGGCTTTGACATGTTCTCCGAATGTCGTCCCAGAGAATTCCACGTCGTGCATTATTTGCCGACACTGGTACTGGTTGGAAGAAGCGGAGAGGTGGTCAGTGTATGACATGGTATCGTGGTATGAAAGAAAGCTGCAAAGGGCTGGCTTCTGTTGGTCCCTCACGACTCCCTGGTTGGGGTTTGAGAGATGGTGCTACACAGTGGCTAGAGACGTTATCAGATATGGCTCAGAATAGAAGACAGTGGCGATCCTGCTGTAACCTTCTTTTACTTTCTTCATAAAAAGTGGCCGTAACTTCATTACCTGAAAGGATTCTTTCTGGTCGTACCTTTCTGTTTCTCCTATTATTATTATTTCACTACCATACACTAATTTGTGGTCGTTATTCTTTTTTTCTTATACGCATCTTACATTCTTTATCTCTTCTCATTCTGATTATTTTCGTGTAGAGCATATGTATCTGGTTCTCCCTTGTACCAATTATTATGCGTTCAAATAAATAAATAATGACTGTTTTCTCAGATTTTCTTTATATACTCGAATGATGTAAAAGCCTGCTTAAGACGTCACAGACTCAGTACCAGTACCATTTATTTTTACGATATGACATGTATTTATAGACAAAAGATTCACAAGAAAGCACGCACATATACTTGGTAAATTACTGTCTTTATTAAAATCATTATGCTGCAAAATAAAATATTGATAAACTGTACGTAAACGTAAACTTTCCTGTTTAAAAAATAGTTGATAAACGTTTTCATATCATCATTATCTTATATTTATTTGATTGACTTGAATTTACTGAAGACATCAAATGCCTAAAACTTCACTGTGTTTTACTCAAGAATTGTAACATACGATTGATAAAAATAACACATATGGTAATGTCATTAGCAATTTTAGCTTTTGTTTTTATGTATCACTCACTTGAAATAGTAACATTGAGTGAACAAGGTCTAAATTCAGTGCATTTTATTGGACAAAAAAATAAGCAAGCTATGACGATTGTGAACATGTACGGATAATAATGTTTCTAATGTGTGTTAATAATGCTCAGCGTGTTCCATACTAATTAATAAGTATCAGATAATAATAAGTCTCCGGTTAATTAAGCTAAGAAATAAAGGTCAATGATATCCCCAATGTCAATGTTTAGAGATTAGATGGTTCTAACTCATCATAGTGGGATAGATTCATATTCGTCTTATTTATAAATACCATGTTATTCCACACTTTTTATTTCTCATCTGTACTTCGATTTGTGTTTATCGTGACGTGTTCTATAACATTTTGCACTTTGTTTTTTGATTAATATTTTCACATACAGTGAATCAAAACATAGCATTCTAGAAGGTTGTGCGATTTTTTCAGGTTTTATCTAGTCCATGACTATCTATTTCTTTTTATAAACAAATGAAAACATTGTTTAAACACGTCAGAAGAGTTCGAAAAATGATAAGCGTACAGTGAATTTCGCTTTTAAACTATTATGAAGAAGTCTATTTCTCAATAAATTCTATTCTCTGTTTTTTTTTAGATTGCTCAATAACTAAATACTTTTTGAATTCAATTCCACTTTGTTTATGTATTCCATCGTTATTCCGCTTTCGAAATTATCGTCTACTTTTATCTCATTCAAATATTATAAAGACCAATGCTGAAAATAGTGATTATGATATCGTCAATAAAGAAAGAATAAATGGAATAAGATTTTCATTTGGATGCCCACAATTTTTACAAGAATTCACTTCAAATTTTAAAAAGTTATTTTCACCGAAATTATGGAAAAATCCTAATTTTTTATTTTATGTAATAGCTAATGGTATAGCTGGTGCTGGAGTTGTCATACCATGGACATTTATTTACGATCATGTTCTAACTACTCTGTCTTATTTGAATGCTCAAAATTCAATTGGAGATATAAACAATCAAGATATTTCCTGGCTTCCATCTTTAATTGGATTCGGATTGCTATTTGGTCAGTTTTAAGCAATTAACTTTTTATATTCTAATTAGGGAATTGTTACACGAGCTAATTGAGTAGAGTTTTCATAAAACTGCTGATGTGATTGATAGGTTATCAATCATTGACTTGACTTTTAGAAATAAAATGACAGTTCTTTACTTCTATGGCAGAGAATAAATTATACAAGAAAACATTCTCATGGTTCATGTGGATTCTAAAAGATAAATACAATGCAGCTGAAAAGTGTTCATCCTGCTTTCAACATTTTGCCCTGAGATTTAGTTGAACATTGCATTATGTCAAATGCAAGCTCAGACATACTTTGTCGAACGATTTTCGATTTATTCACTAAGAACCGCCGACTTAACTTTATTCGTCTAACAGTTATTGAGCATAGGATATGGATATTGCATAAAACAGGTAATAAACGGATTACCTTTGTTTTTAAACCAGACATAAATATGCCTTATAGTTTCAGAAGTCTCAAGGTGTGTGATGTAGATCAGACTACTAAATTTTAATTAACCGGTTAAATATTATTTCGTTAGATCTATTTGCTGTCATCAAATCAATTTTGGACTCATGTAGCACATGAACTTAAGTGTTTTAAAATTATATAAAATAAATAATCATGTAAAACTCAACTCTCTTATGTTAAACACAGTATTATTATCAGAAAACTGGTTGACCGGTTGATTAATTGCTAGTTTCTATATAAACAAAAGCATTCCTATTGATATTTTCCTAAAAGCAAAGCATAACATAAAACTACCTATCAGGAGATTAAACAGTATTTAGCAAACTATTAGTGCAGTTGGTTTTAAACAAAAAGTAGTTAAACATCTGGATGTATGTATAATCTGTTTGTTTAGTAATCTAACCGATTTCCGCCTAAACTAAAAATACTAGTAATGATGAACGTAATGTAATTGGTTATTCACTACTGATTATGGCCTGGTGATTGATCGGAAAATGTGTATACTAAATTGAAAAATTCTTCATTGTATTGTACTGTATTCGGCACCAGAAAGTTGGATAAAAACTTGGTGCTAGTTTATCAGTTTTTTGTAACTGTATTTTTACTATTTCCCGACGGAAGGTCTTTCAACTTATATTAATAGTACATTTACAACTCTTTTTCTTTAGCGAAAATTTCACATTTTTGATATTTGTTTACAGCCCGTTTGTTGTTTGTCTTACTGTCTACTATTTTTAAAGTAACTCTTTGATTAATTTTACTCTTTATTTTCTTTAACATTCTATCAGGTCAATTGTTTTATGGTTTGGTAACTTCTCAGTTTGGTGACATAGGTACATGTTGTAAAAATAACAATCAAGATTGCAAAGTTGAAAATGGTAGCTCTTGTTGTCAACCAAATTGTTTTCAGTCCGTCAATAAAAAATGTTCATCGTCAAAGTATAAATTTCATTTAGTAATCTTCCTGATAACACTTCTTTTAAATAGTTCATGTACACTAACTATAGCTTTAGTCCCATTATGGTCTGTTCAAAGTGAGTTAAAGCACTTCGAATTATTCTCGCATCAAGAAGGAAAACTATTAGCGTTGGCTTGTTTTTTTGTTGGCGTATCAAATGGTGGATTGTACGTCATGTTTCCACAGTTAATCATTGATATTGTTGGTACTGAATTATGGTCTTCTGGACTTGGCGTATTTTTAACTTTTAATGGTCTTATGAATTTGTGTGGAACTAATATTGGAGGTAAGTTCTACTTGAAACACTTTCTAACTTTCAGTGTTCACCTTTAATTTCAGATTTTTAGTAGGCTTTTGAAGTGTGTACAGAGTTTGCAAAATTATCAATGTTCATATGCAAATGATTTCCTTTTTAAGAAACAATTTTCGTTTTATTCATAATGACACTGAAGTTCTGTACGGTAATGACTAATCAATTTATCTTCTGGTTACAAATTTTGTCGTTTCTTTCTTCAGGACATGAAGAATTCTAGAAAGTCTGTCGAAAGAAATTGAATACAGATTTTTATTTGAAAACAATTTGAACTGTACTTCTGGGTCACTTGTGTGTTGGCTTAAAAATATCTAAGTATTTCAATAAACTGTTTGTCAGTTAGGTCAATTGACTAGTCCCGTTAGAATCGCTTTGAGTAAGAGGTCGTATAATTTAACCGATAGTTTCTCAATTTTCTTCAATCCATCAACTTATTATTATAAAAATCTCTACCTAATCTTTGAAAGTCTCATAGAGATACTCAATTAGAACAATAAAAACTGGACTGAATGGTTTCCTCAATTAAGTGTTTTGTATTGGCTATTATCGCCTTACTATTTTGAAAGGTGTGAATAAAGTTAGCTATTCGAATCTTAATAAACGATAAGTTTGGTAGTCGAGTGACAATTTAGAACTCAATATAATCTTGGTCATTTTGCTTGTCTGCTATTTATGTTGGCTGTTTGAGAGATTCTGATCAGTTAGCTCTTTACTTTCTTCTCCTTTCTAACGAACATTCACTTATCTCTCTAACAAATATTGGGTTAATAAATGATGCAATTTATGCTTGTATTTATATAGTCACCACTTAAACATTGCGATAGGCAGTTGCGACAATAACACCAGGCTCAGAGATATCAACTGCGGTTGGAAACAGTGAAAATGTCCATGATAACTTTAAATAGCTAATGTGAGTAGTTACAGAAAGGTAAGTTAGATTCTTTTTGAGAAGGAAATCATTTTGGCGATTTATTGTGTTAATTGATTTTCGTCGATCACACATTGTAATACGAATTTACTGATGGTGTATTGTTTAAACAATTTATATACCGTAACATAGTCCAGTATTTCTACATTATATGTGAATTTTTCGTTTATTATTATCATTATTAAAGTCTGAATTCATAGAAATGATAAGCGTACACATTCTTAGATATAACACTATCTTACTTTGTTTAACATCTGACTGTAAATACTGTCTTCTCTTAACTAGGATACCTACTAAATGTGAATAATATATTTATATAAGTTTCTCAAAAACCTAAATGCTTGAACAGTTAGACTTGAGTACTTAAAATGGGAACACTTTAAAGCTCTGTTGAATAAATATTTTCGCATTAGTCATTTTAAATTTTGCAAGAGTTTTTGCTAAACTTACTTTGTTTTTGGCATGTTCATAAATCTTTTATTTTTTTACAGGCAAAATATATGACACTAGAGGTTCATATCAAATGGCACTTTTAATCGCCGCATTTCTGCCGCTATTCGCTTTTCTTTTGGTCGTCATGAAGGAGATATTCACGTGGTTAATAAAGAGTTCTACATTATCTGCCAATTCTGATTCACTGCAAAGACAAATTTAAATGATATTTATGCTAAGAATTCAAATGACGTTTTATTAAAATCCCTTTTTTAGCGCATAATGTATTGTTCACTAGTAAACTATTTAAGGATGGCCTTACCATATCATTTTGAAGTTTATTCTTCGTTACATATTTGCTAACGACTGGAGGAGCGTAGGCCGTCAACCAGGATTCTCCAACCAACTCTTTCTTTTAATATCCAATTCCAATCCCTTAGCAATATGTTCTTTAGTCTGCCTCTGTTTCATTAACATTCATGATTCTAAATCAGAGCTTGTTTCGTGGTGCAGTTTGATGATTTCCGCAATGTATTTCCTATCCGCTTCCAGCGTCTTTTCCTAATTTTCTCTTCGACTGCAAGCTGATTTGTTCTCTTCTACAGTAAGCTATTGCTGATGTTATTCGGCCGACAGACGTTGAGTATCTTTCGTAGACAGTTGTTTATAAACACCTGTACTTTTTGATGATGGTTGTAGTAGTTCTCGAAGTTTTAGCTCCGTACAGTAGGACTGTCTTGACGTTTGCATTGAAGATTCTGTGGTCGATACTGGTTGACAGTTGTTTTGAGTTCCATATGTTTTTCAATTGTAGGAATGGTGCCCTAGCTTTGTCGATCCTTTCCTTTACGTCTGCATCATATCCCCCTTTTCATCGATGATGCTGTTCACGTATATCAGAGTTTCTCCATCGAGTGTCATTGAGTTGGTGTTTCCTGTGTTGTACTTGAGGATCTTGCTTCTTCCGTTGTGTATGTTGAGGTCTGCTGCTACACTGGCTATCTTCATCCGCATTTGTTGGTGTGTATGGGATAGAAGATTTGGGTCATCTGAGAAATTTAAATCGTCTAGTTGCATCCAAGCTGTTCATTCTATTCCATGCTTTCCTTCAGATACAGAGGTAGAAATAATAAAATATATCTTACGAAGGAGAATAGGTCAGAGTAAGCAACCTTGTCCGACACCGGTCTTCGCTTGGAATGCATATGTGAGCTGTCGTCCATGACCTTGCAGTGTAGTCTGTCGTATGAATTCCGGATGGTTTCAACGATCTCCAAAGGTGTATTGCAGTGTCGAAGAAGGTTCCACAGGATTTTCTTGTTGACGCCATTGAATGCTTTCTCGTAGTCAATAAAGTTGATGAATAGTGACGGGTTCCACTAAACTAATTGTTCAACGATGATCCGAAGTGTTGCGATTTGGTCTGTGCACGAACGATCCTTACGGAATGCGGTTTGTTGATTCACTGAATCTTTAATTAGATTAAACAACACTGTTGAAAACCTTTCCTGGTACCGATTGTAATGTGATGCCTCTATAGTTCTTACATTTGCTCAGTTCACCTTTCTTTGATATCTTGATGAGCAGTCCTTCTTTCTAGTCTATCGGCACCTGTTTTTCCTCACAAATCTTCCTGAATAGAACGTGCAGTATATTTGCAGCTGCTTCCATATCCGCCTTCAGGGCTTCATCTGGTATATTGTCAGATTCAGCTGCTTTTTCACTCTCGATTTCTTTGATGGCCGTTCGGATTTCTTCGATCATTAGTGGACTGACATCCATGGAAAGGTCTGTAGGTGCTGCTTTGATGTTTAGTAGATTCACTGAAACGGACCTATTCAAGAGTTCCTCAAAGTATCCTACCAATCTGTTCAGTCCTTTAATGTCATCGATTGTCTTGCCTTCTTTGTCCTTCACCGGTTTCTCTGGTTTACCATAATTTCCTGTCAGTTCCTTCGTTGTGTCATATGGTTGTCTCAGATTTCCTTGTCTTGCAGATTTTTCCGCTGTCGTTGCCAGGTCTCCCACGTATTTTTGCTTGTCGTCTGTAATGCTCTTCACTTGGTTGTTTGCATCAGTGTATCCAGTTTGTGCCTCGACTTTCTCTTTTCTTGTTTGTCTTGTTAATTGCTGTCTTCTTGTTCTTTTTTTCTTGAATTTAGCGCAGGATAGAAGTAGACATTCGTTTTTTATGGTGGTACTTATTGCAGTCTAGCGCTTCACAGAATGTTGCTTCTATGATCGATCTGATTCTTTGTGATCGGGTGAGGTCCATGTAGCTTTGTGTATGCGTACGTGGGGGAATAATGTGCCACCTATAACTATTTTGTTGAATTCCGATAAATTAACATATCTCACCATTCTCGTCCCTTTCTCCCGGTCAATCCATGTCGTCGTATGACATATTCATACTAGTGTTGTCTATACCGACTTTGTCATTTAGATCTGTTATTGTTGAACAAAGAAATGGAGAAGAGAGATGCTGATGTGTTAAGTTACAAAGTGTTTATATCACACGTAACTTTTGGTTATCCATTTGCATCTTGCAGTGTGCTCTGCGATTGAAACTTGTGCCTTCCTGAAAAAAATCAGTTCAACTGCTTGAGTGCGCAAAGCACTTTCTTCCTGATCGGAGCACAACAACATCTATCTCGAGGATAATTATTTTGTCTAGTTTTGGTCCAACGGGTTCATTTTATCCTGAAAATTGACATTTTGTATCTCTGCACTTCCGCAGCTGTTTCACTGCTCCCCTACATAGTTCAGAGATTTCATGTACCAATAATAATTGTTGCACTTGTTGTTGAGAGAGGAATTTGCCTCGTGACTTCTGGAGGATCTTGACTTTCACTTTGAGGCTTCATAACTCTTCTAAATCAATTTTAATACTTCGCTCAGTCGTCATGATGAAATACAATCTTAGGGTCAATCAAACTTGCGTTCGCTTGATAGTGATTCCTATCCTCGCTTGGATACGAAAAGTGATATTATGATTAGGAGTATTTGAATTATAGTGCGAGCTAAGAATGCCAGAAATAACGCGATTGGATCAAGGAGTACTAGATAAGCACGAACGAATGTATTGTACTTAGAATTCAAAATCAAGCATTCAACAAGTACAAAGGAATCATTAGTCCATTCAAACACCGCATCCGCCACAGCTTAAATTAGAGTCTAGGTGTCTGTATTCGATTGTACGTCTTCTTAAAGTTCATCCTGTGTCTGTCCGCCATTGTATTGGACAAAACATTATATTATCTAGAATGTTCTCATTAGTATTGGGATTAAAAACCGAAATCGGAACAGACACTTGGTTCCTGGAATCGTATACAATCACCGTGTCGGTTGTGTTCCGAAACCACTATCTAGAATTTAAAGCACAGATTTCCCAACACTATCCTCCCGCAAGAAATAACGTTAGATCTTTATATCCCCAATTTATGAATTATGTGGCTTCATTTAAAACATATTTCTCACATTGACTAGAAGTGACTTCGTGGTAAGGATAAACAGCAGTTGATATGAAATCATCCAAATTGTAATCATACTCGAGCTCATTTAGTACTTGTGCTTCGCACTAAACAAGTTTCCCACAAGAAACAGATGCATTATGGAGACAAATAATATTTGGTTTGACATCAAGATTTGACTCTTCTGAAATAGTTTCCTCGAATTCATTAGGAATGCCATTGCAGAGTAAAGGATCATTAGAAAAATCAGCATCTATCAAAACTGAACAGGTTTTCGATCATGAATAGATTCATCCAACATATTTTCCTTAGATTTGTAAAGAAGTTCATCAGAAATATGTGAATCATTAAAAAGAACCGTACCTGGTACAATAGCATGAGAAATCTGATAAGTTGATTGATTAGAAACTGTCGTCTCACATGGATACTGAGTTTCATTTAACTCTGAACTGCTCTATGACTATACACTGTCTTTTGAAATTGTTGATAAGGATAAATGATCATTGTAAATGCTCAACTTAATAGAATCAGAATTACAAGACCTAATATTTGTTGCAGCAAGATGGACAGTAGTTCTACAAACTGACTGAATATGTCCAATATCACCACATTTAAAACACTTAGAATTATGAAATTTACATGAATTAAAAGAGTTGAACCTGCCACAGGACAAACATTGACCAAACTTGTGTCCATCTTCGTAAAATGCATTGCAATTCATCAATGAATTATCTGCATAACTTTGAGTATGGACTGGGCTGGGATGATGTAATATAGTGGAACTATTTATATCCTCATGAATCATTTTACGAAATCTTCCTCTTTTACCACATTCGAAGTTTGTACACTTAACATAGTCTAGCAGTAGATCCTTGAAAGTTGTATAAGGAAGCGAAATGGACTTCTCCCGTAAAACCTGAGTTTTTAATAAGAAATATACTTCTTTTCCGATTAATGTGAGGAGATGTGCTACAATATTAACATCCTCATCATCTTCCTTGGTCATAGACCAATTTTTGAACCTTTCAAAGTAATCCTTAAAAGCATCAGAATCTGAATGTATGTCCAACCGTTCCATCACAGGCTCCATCGCGACGCTAAATATGATTCAAATGGTTCAAATGGTTCAAATGGTTGTGGACGGAATAGAAGAAGCTTTCGCTTAACAGGCTTCCGTGTCTAGTAGCAGGGGATCACCAAATCCTCCAGGCAGGAACCTAGGTATGTTAACAATAAAAGAGGAAAAGAAATTGGTAAATCATAGTGTGATGCTGTCCTTGGTCCTTAAGAATAGGTCAAGTTGCCTCTTGAAGGACTCCTGAGAAGTCGCTTGGACTAGCTCGGCCGGCTGCGAATTTCAGCTTTTGACAACTCTTAAGGAGTAGAAGTTGTGTCTACATTCCGTCTTGCTATGTTGTGTTTCCAGTTTCTGGGTGTTACCCCTTAGGTTATTATTCGAACTAAGCTTAAGTAGGTGTTTAAGAGGATGTCCAGAAGTGTTAAGAATACTATAAGCCATTAATAAATCACCTCTAAGACGCCTATACTCTAATGGGTAAAGGTCTAGTGAATGGAGGCGTTCTTCGTAAGGCTTAGATTTGAGTCCTCGAACTGATTTCGTGGCTCGCCGTTGGATACGCTCCAAAGTGACCTTGTCCTTTTGGAGTGAGGGGGGAGTACTATGTTTCCGTACACTAAATGGGGACGGATGAAACTATTGAAGATTGTGTGGAAAGTTCTTCCGTCAAACTGGCCAAAAATGCGCCTCAACGTTACCAGTGCAATGTTTGCTCGGAAGGCATTTTTGTC